GATAAACACAAATTGCCTATAGGTATGCTGATCTGACAGAGCACTGGCCCGGTCCGGTCCGACCCAGGCCCGGCTGGTCTCTGGAGCTGTGGTGCTGATCAGGCTTTAAAGCTTTGCTGACTTGTTGTTTCCGGTGGTTCTGGTCTCAGGTTCTGGTCTCAGGTTTCCTCTGTGGTTCAGGACTCAGATCCAAACCCAGAACAGAACCTCTTCCATTTCCCATCCCAGAAGACTGGTCTTCCTCTGGACCCTCTAAGCCAGACAGACTTTTTAAATCCAGGTTCTGATGTATTTGACCAAAAACGTCAATTTGACAGCCAACCAGAACCTTTTGTGAGCGAATGGGCGGTCCGGTGTTGGACCAGCTAATTTATGCTGCGTTTACACCAGACGCAGCTGGCGCGACAGAAGCAGCGAGTTTACATGCAAAGTCAATGGTTGATGCGCGTCAAGGCACAGCAAAAGGTCCTGCAGTGTGTTTTGAGCAGCAGGCGCAGCGCGTCGGGCGCGTTTAAGCATCTGACGCGCCGCAAACGCGCTGCTGCTCGAGATGGAAAAATTGACTTTTTGCTGCTCGACGTGCCGCGTCAACCAATCAGAGAAGCTGATCTGGGAGCTGGCAGCAAGACAGACACATCGCTGATGACACAGAGCGCTGTGATCACTCCTCTGAAACAGTTTATTGACGCATAAATTAACTTAAAATGCAGAAATCTGCCGGCAGAATATGTTCGATTTTATTTTCCTGGTGCCTGCAGTTTGGATTATTTAGATGAAAAACACCTACCAGCTGCCGCAGTGAACCGCGAGGAGGCGACCCGGCCAGAGGCTGCTGTTGAAGGGATTCCTACTGACAGCGCACTGCTGGTATGTGGGGGTCTGAGCGGCTCCCTCAGAAATAATATCGGAAGGCGGGATGGTAATCTGGATGAACTGACTGCAATGATTAAGTTTTCAATTGGAATTTTTCACTTAAAAACATATTAAAACGACTTTATTCCCACTGATCACAGCAAATATAGCTGCAAGGCAAAGAAAGCATAGAGTAGCTCCGTCCAACGCGCGTCAGACACACTTTTGGACCGCGCAGCCAGAGCAGCAAAGCTGCTTCAGCCGCGCGTCAGAACTACAGGTGCTGGTCATAAAATTAGAATATCATGAAAAAGTAGATTGATTTCAGTAATTCCATTTAAAAAGTGAAACTTGTATATTATATTCATACATTACATACAAACTCATATATTTCAGATGTTTATTTTGTTTAATTTTGATGATTACAAATGACAACAAATGAAAATCTCAAATTCATCATATCAGAAAATTAGAATATTGTGAAAAGGTTCAAAATTGATGGCCCCTGGTGCCACACTCTAATCAGCTAATTAACTCAAACCACCTGCAAAAGCCTTTAAATGGTCTTTCAGTCTAGTTCTATAGGCTACACAATCATGGGGAAGACTGCTGACTTGACAGTTGTCCAAAAGATGACCATCGACACCTTGCACAAGGAGGGTAAGACACAAAAGGTCATCGCTAAAGAGGCTGGCTGTTCACAGAGCTCAGTGTCCAAGCACATTAATAGAGAGGCGAAGGGAAGGAAAAGATGTGGTCGAAAAAAGTGTACAAGCAAGAGAGATAACCGCACCCTGGAGAGGATTGTGAAACAAAACCCATTCAAAAATGTGGGGGAGATTCACAAAGAGTGGACTGCAGCTGGAGTGAGTGCTTCAAGAACCACCACACACAGACGTATGAAAGACATGGGTTTCTGCTGTCGCATTCCTTGTGTCAAGCCACTCTTGAAACACAGACAGCGTCAGAAGCGTCTTGCCTGGGCTAAAGAGAAACAGGACTGGACTGCTGGTGAGTGGTCCAAAGTCATGTTCTCTGATGAAAGTAAATTTTGCATTTCCTTTGGAAATCAAGGTCCCAGAGTCTGGAGGAAAAGAAGAGAGGCACTTCATCCACGTTGCTTGAAGTCCAGTGTAAAGTTTCCACAGTCAGTGATGGTTTGGGGTGCCATGTCATCTGCTGGTGTTGGTCCATTGTGTTTTCTGAGGTCCAGGGTCAACGCAGCCACATACCAGGAAGTTTTAGAGCACTTCATGCTTCCTGCAGCTGACCAACTTTTTGGAGATGCAGATTTCATTTTCCAACAGGACTTGGCACCTGCACACAGTGCCAAAGCTACCAGTACCTGGTTGAAGGACCATGGTATCCCTGTTCTTAATTGGCCAGCAAACTCTCCTGACCTTAACCCCATAGAAAATCTATGGGGTATTGTGAAGAAGAAGATGCAATACACCAGACCCAACAATTCAGAAGAGCTAAAAGCCACTATTAGAGCAACCTTGGCTATCATAACACCTGAGCAGTGCCACAGACTGATCGACTCCATGCCACGCCGCATTGCTGCAGTAATACAGGCCAAAGGAGGCCCAACTAAATACTGAGTGCTGTACATGCTCATACTTTTCATGTTCATACTTTTCAGTTGGCCAACATTTCTATAAATCCTTTGTTTTTATTGGTCTTCAGTAATATTCTAATTTTCTGATATGATGAATTTGGGATTTTCATTTGTTGTCATTTGTAATCATCAAAATTAAACAAAATAAACATCTGAAATATATGAGTTTGTATGTAATGTATGAATATAATATACAAGTTTCACTTTTTAAATGGAATTACTGAAATCAATCTACTTTTTCATGATATTCTAATTTTATGACCAGCACCTGTAACTGGTACAAGCAGCAAAAATGAAGCAGCAGACGCGATTTTGCTGCGCCAGCTGCGTTGGTATGAACGTAGCGTTACTGGCCTTGGTTTCTAAGTATTAGCAGGTATTTTGGTCGGTCAGCTGCAGTAAACTTTGTTTCTTCCACTCATATCGATGTTGTTCAGATGCTTCATTCATTTCATATCCATATATTATATACCCTGCAGGGTGAAAAACAACTTCAGATGGAAGTCATGAACATGGTTTCATTTTAAGGATAACTAAGATTGGTTTTTGGGGCCCTAAAGAGACACAGACGTGTGCGATGTCACCTTCTTCATCCAGTTATAATCTACGGTCTCTGTGTGTCGTCACCAGTCTGCTCTGACTCCTCCTCTGGACCCTAAAACTGTCATTTCATCCTCAGTGGTGTTTAGTGGTTCTGCACAGATCAGCCTGTTTCATTCATTCTGGGTCATTAGAATTTGGGACACAATGATCCTCATGTTTTCACTTTAATCCAATAATTACATTTCAATCCTAAAAGTGCATTAGAGTTGAACGTGAAACGATTAACACTTTGTCAACACTTTGCATTTAAATGGGATCCAGTGTTATTAGTGACCGTTATCTTAGATTTAGTCTATTATTAGTCTAAAGGGCTGGTTATCCTCCTGCAGCAGTGAGCTTGATGCAGACATTTTTGATTTATGCTCAATTTTGAACGTGGTCTGTGCTACACGCTGTGGGTCTAGATACGGCCGAGGTGGTGAGGAAGTGGGGGCGAGATTGTCCGACATCGAAGGGACATGAAGGCGAAAAAGAGCGGAGATCCAGGTGGAAAAAGGGTCCCAGCGTTCTCGCGCACCTCGCTCTTCTAGCGGGTCCATCTTCACAGGTTGTTTTCTGCAATTTCGGTAATAAAAACAAAACAAGCCGGCTTCCTGTCAACGGCACTGTCTGCGGTCAGCTACAATTTGGGAGAAGTGCAGCAGAGTGTCTGCGGAGGGGGCGGGGACGTCTTTTTGTTCACTGCGTCACCTACGCAAACGTAGTTTAGAAGTATATATCAGCCTTTAGTCGTATTTTAGTCGTTACGACATGATAGTTTTAGTCAAGTAAAACACAAAAAGGTTTTAGTCTAGTTAGTTTTTTATGTTTCAGTTCATAAAACATTTAACCAGTTAATGGTTATTCTTCCCCAGACTGACAGCTCTAGCCTAGATGCTACAGTTGCTGGGTATAGAATGCTGCAGCGCAGTTCATCATTGCTGTTGGGCAGAAAACTAGTTTCTAGAATTCAAATAAACTTTTTTATGAATTAATGCCCTAGTTTATAAAAAGTATCTCACAAAAGCTGTAAAATAGCAGATCTAGTTCAACACCTCATATTGTCTAACAAAATGTCCAATAAAGGATTGTTTTTAAACATCCAAGGTTTCCCTCCCAAAGCAAACACCTCCTTATCTACTATGAATTATGCATTACACACACATCAATAAAATCTTCATTACTCCAAAAAAAAAGGAAAGAACAAAAACATTCTTCTTTCTACTCTTGAAATTTTGACTTTATTTCTAGGAATGAACCCCTTGGTTACTGCTGCTCAGGGGTCAAAGTAGATTTATATTCATTTAGGTCTGATTTAAAAAAAAAAAAAAAAAAAACACAGAGAACCTACATAATTGTCTTACAATGCCATGGCAATCCATGCCTAGATTTCAATATGTAAACTAATGTGTTGAAATATTCAAATAGATAGTTTTATCTAGGTTAAGGTTTAGTATCAGTTCTTATGAGCTGGAAGAAATAAAATCTTAATATTTAGACAAAATGATTTTTTAATTCTTGGCAGAAGATGATCAGCAACATATAGTTTATTAAGTAGCGAGAGCAGGAGGATCCATGCTGCTGAGAGCAAACCATCATTGTGGAGAACAAAGCGCAGACTTGGCGCTACGCACACACAAAGAAGCATTTTTGCACAAGCGCAGCTGGAAGAGCAGAGTTTATCAGAGTTGAATTTGCGGTCCTGGTTCCTTCTGGGATATTTTCCCCCCTGCCGATGCTGCCATGATCCATCTGTGGTCACCCAGAACGTGCACCGCTGCACGCAACGTGGTCGGCATCACCAAACAAGGCGCAGCAGCTGATACTGCTTAGCTTTTCTAACAGATTACGGCACAATGATGCCTTTTAAACTGCTCACGCACCACCCGCTAATTTTTATGTTATGTTAAGTTACGACGTGTTCTGACTCCTTTTTGTTTCCCTCCAGCTTCCTATGAAGGTCGCGCATCAGAACACACACAGCAAAGTCAGCACAGACCACAACAAGGAATGCTTGATCAACATCTCAAAGTACAAGTTCTCCCTGGTTATCAGCGGCCTCACCAACATCCTTAAAAATGTCAACAACATGGTAAGTAGACCCGGCCGTCTCAGGGCTCCTGTTCGACTTCTGGCAGATGGAGGAACCCGACTGGATAGAAAGCTCAATTTAAACTCAAATGACTGAAGGTCTGGTTATAAATCCAGTTTTATTTATAACAAGATCAAAAGAAGAAGTCAAAAGTTAAGAATAAGTGCTTTTTTAAGCTTTTAATAACTTAAGGGACGAGCAGCTTGAATATTGTTGAGTCTAGGGCTGAAACAATTAATCAAATTAATCGATTATTGGAATAATGTTCAACTAATTTAGTAACAGATTAATCTTTAACTAGAGTTTAAAACATGCCTTTAGCTGACAGTGACCCAGTTATATCAGTAACTATATCAAAATTGTAAAAAAAAAAAAAAACAAAAAAAAACATTTTGCATTTAATATGGGGGAAAAAAGGTTCTGTCAATCTGCTCTAGGGCTGGGCGATATAGAAAAAAAGCTTATCGATAAAAAAAAATGCATATTGATCGATATCGATAATTATTGAAAAGATTTGAAACCATATTTTATGTGCAGCTCTGCCTGGACATTTTATAATATTGCTAAATGATCTAATTTTAATAAAAAACACAAACACAGACTTTGAATTAAATCTTTATTTAACCAACTTTTTTAACCATAACAGAATTGTTTTAAAGAAGAATAACTTAAGAGACCTGAGTTATGTTATTAAATACTGACAAAGAATAAACTAAAGTGACCAGAAAAGTGACCAAAATAAATATAACAAATAAATAAATGCCCCCCCGCCGCCGCCCCCGTTTCCTGCTTTAACCTGAGTTATTACTTTGAAGTTTCTGGCCCCTCAGCATTTTTATTTCAATTGTTAGAACTACGTGGGAAACTGCCCAGAACTGAAAATATACATATATTTTCCGAAGATTCCTCGGAGGAGAGCCGCGTCGGGGCCTACACAGCTCGTACTCCTGCGGCTGTGAGCGGCTGAGATGATAAAAAAAAAGTTGGTTTCGTTATCAGACTGGTTTTCACTGGTTCCCGACACATTTTCCAGATGACTGTGGTTTGTTTTTGGTCCGACTTGCCATGACCGAAATACTGCCAGACTGCCGAACTACAAAAACCCTTCTTTGGAACAATTTCCTCCGCCTCTCCTTGCTGCACATCTTCATGTGCTCTGTGTTGTGGTTTGAGAGGGCGGCGCTTGGTGACGGCGTACCTGGGTCCGCGATTGTGATTGGTTGGGAGGAAGCAGTGACTAGCATAAACCTACATGCTAGGCTACAATGAGAAGGAAGGAAAACTGCGTTTCTTTTTTATCGAACTTTTATCGACCCTCTTTTTTTTTATTGCGCCACACGTCTATCGATCGATATATATCGTTATTGAATTATCGCCCAGCCCTAATCTGCTCTACCAGAGCTCCTCAAGGGGAAAAGATTTATACCCCATTTACAATACCCTTGAAAAAGATAACTTATGGTGTGTAAATGGAAAGCAAACGGAATTGAACCGAGCTAGACACGACCGAACCGAGCTAACTGCAGACCAGTTCCAGAGGTGGGCTCAGCTCGGTTTTTCCCTGGCTCGGTTCTCTGATAACAAGAGTGCATGAGCAGAACGCGTCATCTCCGTCTGGCTGCACATCCCGATTCACACTCAATTCCAGTAGATGGCGGTAATGCCCCTCCGGAAACAGAAGAAGAACAACAGCTTCTTCTTCAACTATAAACAACAATCGAAATCTTCTCCACACATATTAAATAATAACACCGAAGTACAGCAATAATAATCAAGCATACCTTTCTGAATTTGACGGGTGCCGCCATTTTGATTTGCTTGATTCCCTCCTTCGTCTTCTTCTTGTGTTTTATGGCGGTTGACAAACAACTTTTGGTGCATTACCGCCACCAACTGCTTGATTTCCTCCTTTAATACTGGCAGTAATACAGCAGATCGTCACTAGGAGGCGAGGAACCGAGATAGCGTGATGTGTAAACGGTCGTCAGAACCGAGCTCGGCCTGGTTAACTGATGCGAGCTCGGACCGGTCTCGGCATGGATCGGTTTTTCAAGGGTAGTGTAAATGGGGTATTAGTTTCACCTGCTTTAATTTTGTAAAAATTCTTTTTTTTTAAGGAACTGTTGGCTATCAGATTATTAATAAATAATGGTCAGATTAATCGATTTGTTAAATAATCGTTAGTTGCAGCCCTAATTGAAACTGTTTTATATTTGTAAACCACAGTTAGTCATTCATCCTCTTATGTATTTCAATCCATAAGCTATGAAGCTAATTGGCATCATTCAGCCATGACTTACTTCTGCTGATTGTTTTTTTTTGTTTGTTTTATATATAAATGTTTTATTTGGACTAATGAGCCTCATAAGTAACCGAATGCTAATTGTGTGTTAGTCTTTGGTCTGAGTGTGACTGAAACGTCTGAAGTGAAACAGCTGATTTCAGGTTTTATAGAAGCAGCACTGATGGATTGATGTTTGGTTTTCTAACAGCGGATATTCGGAGAAACTTCGGAGAAGAATCTTTACCTTTCTCAGCTCATCATCCTTGACACCCTGGAAAAGTGTCTTGCTGGGGTGAGTGTTGTTTTTCGTTCTCTGAGAAATGTATAAAAACGGCGGCTGGATAATTAATTGCTTTTACAATTAGGTAAAAATTTAACAAGTGTTAATTTCAAAGCGAGTAAGAAACTGACTTTCTCATTCCAGCCCTGTAGGTGGTGCTAATGGGCTTAAAGTGGGCTCTGGTTTAACAGAAGTGAGTTAGTGTTTGGCTGCAGTTAAAATCTGACAGACAATCCACAGTAATAAACTGGCCTTGGTTTTTTTTTTTTCATGTTGGCCCTTTGTTCAAACCAGAAAATCCCTCCTTGATGTAAGTGATTTGTGGAAAGGTGCTAGCGTTGGCTAACATTAGCCTGTGTCTCTATCACTCCTCTGTAGGGTGGCCAGATGTCCGGCTTTAGGGCAGTTTTCATTGCACTGTCCGGCATCCGGCGCCGCATCCAGCCGGACTTGTATTTGTCCTCCTTTATGATGCACTAGGCTTGTAGAGCAGATTTTTATTTTTAATGTTTTTGCTGGGCTGCAGCACAATATCCAATCATCAAAAATGCATCACTATCTGATCTAACAGATGATTGGCTAAGAGTGGCGGCGTGTCAGATAAAGATCTGCTTGTCATTGGTTGCAAAAGTAAACAAGGATCAGAATTACTGATGCTAAGTATTAAAGTTAGTGTCCTGTCAAAACCAGGACGTTGTTTAACCCAGAACGGACTAAATGAATTTATGACCAAAGGTAGTGGAGATTCATTCCATGGTTTCTGCCACTTTGTCGATGCGATGTGGGCGTAAGCAGCCGAGGAAAAGCTGCAACTGAACGGCGTGCGAGTACGGATTAACATAAAAGTAATAAACGTGCAGGAGCAAACTCTTCAATGTTGGCTTTTACATTTAGTTTCGTTTTCCCCTGGATGCTAAAATAGTTTGTGCAGAGCTGCAAGGTTTCGGAAGAAGATTTGTTGATATAAACTTACTTGATATAAAATAACCTAAGTCATCCCAGAAGGAAATTAATTTTTTGTACAACTCATCCGTAGGATGCGGTGTCCGAGGTTACATGCTAAGTTCACATCTCACATGCGTTGGGCAGCAAAAAAATCGTCTGCTGCTTCATTTTTGATGCTTGTGCACATTAAGGTCATTAAGGTCAGGCGTGTCCAGATGCGTCTGATGCTTCTGTGTTCAATGGCAGAGAGCAGCTTTGCTATATTTGCACTGATCAGTGGGTAAAAAGTTGTTTTAACATAATTTTAAATGAGAAAGTCCACCTGAAAACTTCCTCTGTGCAGTCAGTTCATCATAATTACCATCCTGCCTTCAAATATTATTTTTCTGTTGGAGCCACTCGGTTCAAATCAGCTTCTCTGATTGTTTTGTAGCGGGTGTTGAGCTGCCAACTCAACTCCAGCTGTTGCTGCTGCTTGTCAAGCGCTTCATGCGCCTCAGAAGCTCATGAGGCGCTCCTTCAGCTTCTCTGATGCGTCAACATGCGCTGCCCCTGCTGCTCCAGACGCCGCAGGCCCTTTTGATTCACGTCAACCATTGACTTTGCATGTAAACCAGCAGCTTTTGCTGCTTCGATCGCTTTCAGTGTGAACGTAGTATAAGTGTCATGAAGGCGGGACCCTATTGATTCAAATTAAAACCTGGCATTGAGATCATGGAAATTATGTAAAACTCAGAATGTGAGGAAGAAAAACATCTCAGGCCTCTGCTAATCTTTCAGCTTAGGAGGCTCCTGATTTCAACTTTGGCTCCGGATTGATGCTGCTAGTTTGCTCCCCTCCCTCAGTCGATTTAATACATTACTAAGTCATGTTTGGCGCCACAGGATTGCAGCTTAGAGAGAACTGTCCCCTTTGGCTGCGTTCGATCAGGACCAGAACATCCCGCCACACGAACAACTTCTTTCCTCTTTAAAAAGGTCGGAGTTCCCACTGACAAAATGTAAATAAATAAAACCCAAACATCTGAGCACATAATGTTGGTATTTTTTAATTTAATTTCATGTGGTTTACTTTATTAACTGCCATGGTGCGCTTTATGTACAACTTGCATCCTGTGTGGATTTATGTTAAAGGTATAGAGGATCATCTTTTATTTCCGGGTGGTTTATCTAAATAAGTGGTCCTCCTAATTGTGAATCATTCTGGTCATAGCTTAACGTAAGGTCGTCCTAGGCGCCCGTCCTGTTAGCTATCTTTTTCTGCTTATGCGTACTTCAGGTGTATATCTGTGGTGAGCTCTGGTTTCAGACAGTCATTGAAGCTCACCTGTCTCGCCACGGTTCTTTAAAAATGGCAGAGGGTCGCTAGAGAAAAAATGTCTTCCAAGCCTATGAGAAGAAAAGAAAGGTCTCAGAAGAGGCGGATATATCCCAGAATCCTTTGCACCGAGAGCTTTCCTCGCAAAGCATTATGGGATTTGCTGTCACAGCGACCCGCTGTCGTCATAGGCTGTCACTAAACAACAGCGGCGACTAATAACAGAGATGGCTGCGCAGTGGAGGAGGAGTTACGGTGACCATTCAGACAGATTAGGGTAGTTAACTGAGTTCACTATAGAGTCCCCGCTATATATAGTGATTGGTTTATGGCCGACATTGGGGCACAGTAAGCTTGCACAGTAGTAGCCGTTCAAACTTTCCCCACTTTCCTTGATGGGTCCTTGGCTGGTCCCCTACAATTCCTTTTTAAACATCAATCTTTGTATTAAAATATTCTTTCTGTCATGATTTGTGGACATTAAGATCTAAAGAGAAGCGCCATCTCCTGGGCAGACCCTGTAATTCAGGGATAGGGTGAAGTCGGAGTAAAAAAAAAATGAACGCCCAGGAGAAGGCCAGTGTCTGGAAGTTGGAGGAGATTTGGCTGTTGGCTGGGAATCGCAGGGAAGTAGGTATGGGAGAATTATCCTGCCATAATGCAAGAGCACATAATTTCAATTTGAGAAAAGAATTTCATCTTCTTGCACTCAAAACTTATAATGCTCACACTCAAAACATGCGCTCTCTCTCAAATATTTTCTCTTCTCTCTCAAATCTTTGTTTCTTCTCTCAGATTTAATGCTTCTTGCACAGATATTTTCTCCTCTCGCTTGCCTCCTTCTCTTCGCGCACAAACCGCGCTCTGCTCGAGTTTCAGATACGCTCGCAAACCCGTAGGCTCTGCTTGCGGATTTTTTTTACTCTCTCTCAGATTGCAGTTGGATCGTCGCCTAGCAACCTTTCCAGCCAATAGAACGACAGCCTCGGAAAGGGTGCGCTTGTTTAACCCTACTGAGTGTGCCTGTGCTACTACGCCACTTATAAGAGCGTCAGCTGAAACTGCTATTTACAGAAGTTTTGTGGCTCGATTCAGCAAAGTTCAGTACTTATGGATAACCCAAACAATTCTGAATTAAGTAATTTTAAACAATTAGTGGTTTGTTATGTACAAAAGCAAAGAACCGACATATTAAATTATTATATTGAAATACTTTGTTAGTATAATGGCAAATCTTTACGTTTTAACCAGTCAGTGAGTTATGGATGTTTTAAAATGTTGGATGAGTGGACAATTGGTCCGAAAGAGGAGTCCAATCGCAGCTCAAGTAGGACATTAGCAGAGCCTACGGGTTTGCGAGCGTATCTGAGACTCGAGCAGAGCGCGGTTCGTGCGCGAAGAGAAGGAGGCAAGCGAGAGGAGAAAATATCTGTGCAAGAAGCATTAAATCTGAGAGAAGAAACAAAGATTTGAGGGAGAAGAGAAAATATTTAAAGAGAGCGCATGTTTTGAGTGTGAGCATTATAAGTTTTGATTGCAAGAAGATGAAATTCTTTTTTCAAATTGAAATTATGTGCTCTAGCATTATGGCAGGATAATTCTCCCATAAGTAGACTGCCGTTCGGTTGGCGTTTGACTGGGAATGGCCTTTTTGAATAGCTGCTACTGCACAGGTGTCAAACAGGTTCCAGAAAGGGCCATGTGGCTGCAGGTTTTCTTTCCAACCAAGCAGTAGCACACCAGACTCCAGTCATCATGTTCAGATTGGACTCCCTTGATTGATTTGGGTGAGAGCGCATCGTTCAATGCTTGGTTGGAAAGAAAACCTGCAGCCACACGGCCCTTTCTGGAACCGGTTTGACACCCCTGTGCTACTGTATGAGCTATTGGAACAGCAACTTTTAAACAGAGTGTGCACGAGGAAAAATTGGCTCATGCATGCTTCTGTGCGCACATTATTTTTTTTTTTTATTCACAAAAATCCTCAACAATACCTTTATCTGAATGTTTGCTGCTCAGTGTGTTGCACCTCATCACTGAGACAAAATCCTCCTACTAGACAATACATCTCATTCTGATTCTGATCAGTGGTTCATCTAGTTTATTCTAGATCACAGTCCTCATCTTAACACAAAGCTTCAGAGTTAGCTCTGTGTGATGAGGTTTAACTGTATGCCTAAATGCCCAACGGCCCAGACGTGGTTTAGCATCATTCCTCTCCATGGAGTGCTGTCTGGACCGTGAGAATATGTCATGGCTCTTCTTCTCCCCCTGCTTCCTCAGCAATCTAAAGACTGCCTGCGTCTGGATGAGACCATGTTGGTGAAGCAGCTGCTGCCGGAGATCTGCCATTTCATCCACACCTACCGCGAGGGTCACCAGCACGCTGCCGAGCTGCGCTCCTCAGCCTCGGCTGTCCTCTTCTCTTTGAGCTGCAACAACTTCAACGCCGTTTTCAGCCGCATCTCTACCAGGTGAGCCGTTTACGCCGCTGGGCACAAAATCCTGGAATCATGAGAAAACATTTAAGACCTTAATACAACCTTTGTTGATGATTAGAAAGTATTTATCACAATGAAGAAAAACACCCGAGCTTGGATTTCACTTCAAACACTGAAGCAGAGGTTAGCTTTTAGTCAAATGAGCACAAGGAGCTTAATGAGTTTTAGTATTTACACAAAAAGTCTCTTTCTGCATCCTTTTTTTCATAAATTAGAGTAAAATATTCCCACAGCTGATTCTGTTTGGATCATCTGTGCTGTTGTTCCTCTGACATCTATCAAATAATCTGACTGCTCTTTAGAATAAACAGCAGCGCCCTCTTGTGGATTAGCCAGCACTGAAAACGTGTTAAATTTGTTGGTAATTAATCACTAATGATTAATTGATCATGAATCTAAGCCCTTCTTGAAAGTTAACATTAAATTTCATTAACCCTCTCAGTGATCCGGTTTTTAAAGCACAGCCAAACTCATTAAACTGAAATGACTTTTGGGTTCAGAAACCAGTTCTTTCTGGTGTTCTGTCAGACCATCATACCTATAGTCAATACGCATCCGCAACACTTAAGATTTGCCTTTATCCCTTTAATGTTGTTCAAAAAAATTGTTTAAGGTTAGAAAACCATACAATAAAAAAAAAACACCAAGTAAGTACCGTATTTTCGCGACTATAAGGCGCATATAACCGTCTTTTTTTCACCCTCAAAATGTGCGGCGCGCCCTATAGTGCGGTGCGCCCTATGTGTTACTGCGGACGTTGTTGAGACCGCCATGAGAACGTTAAAGGGGGAAGTGTGGGTGTGGATTGTGTATAAAAGAACAGGTATGTGCTTTATGCAGAACTCCTCATCTCCTCATTGAGGAGATGATGAAAGAGTGGCTGAGGGAGGTGAATGGAAGGAGACCAGGTGGTTTTTTACACGCATCACCATCGCTGTTAATCTGTGACTCCATGCGTGCCCATCTCACAGCCGATGTGAAAAAAATGTTAAAGGTATAGAGCAGTGGTTCCCAAAGTGTGGGGCGCGCCCCCTAGGGGGGGCGCGGGAAGCGGTATGGATGAAGAAAAAAAAAAAAAAAACAGCGCTTGCTTGACTGAGCATAAAGGACAGTTGTGACACTGCAACCCAGATTTGAGAAGATCTACAGCAACAAGCAGGCTCACTACAGCCACTGAAAAGATGGGAGGATTAAAGTACAAAGAAAAAACTCTCAGGGAGCTGTTCAATGTTTTCACTCCATTTTGCACAGAGGCTTTTTTAATGTATAGATTATAGCAAAGTTAAATATTGTTACAAATAATAAAAAAAGAAATATGTTTAAAATAACACAGACAACAAAGAATCCTCTTCTAATCTACATTATAGAACTATGAAAAAAATACAGTTACACAAAAGTGTTCCACTGTAAAGATGGGGTAGTTTGTTTTGTTGCAACCTGAAGTGTGAAATAAACTTCAGTGGAGTTTGAAAACAAATATGTGTATAGATTTATTATATCTGGTTGAACGATGTGTGTGCCCAGTTTATTCTGTTTTTTTGGGGGGGGTTGTGGGGGGGGGGGGCGTAGAAATTTTATTGTAATCCAAAGGGGGGCCCAGAAGAAAATCTTTGGGAACCACTGGTATAGAGGATGATCTTTTATTTCCGGGTGGATTATCTAAATAAGTGGTCCTCCTAATTGTGAATCATTCTGGTCATAGGTTAATGTAAGGCCGATGTGAAAAACATGGTGAAACAAATGAACGCTGTGCTCGCTGTTATCCCGGCGGTCTGACAAAGGAACTTCAACCGCTCGACATCGGTGTGAACCGGCCGTTTAAAGTAAGGCTGCGAGCGGCGTGGGAGCGATGGATGACAGACAGAGACCACAGTTTCACGAAAAGTGGAAGGCAGTTACGCCACAGTTTGCGGATGGATTGTAGATGCTTGGGCTAACGTGTCTGCTGGCTCTGTTGTTCCAACCTTAGCAAAAGCTGGCATCATTTCCGAGGAGCCGCCCGACATGGAAAGTGACTCTGACAGCGAAGAAGGGGAAATTGGCATGTCTGATTTAGCGCAGCTGTTTAATTCAGAAACAGAGGATGATGACTTTGATGGGTTTGATTAATACTTTGTAATAAATACATGAATAAAGCACAATCATACTCAGTTTTGCTCCCGCTCTATTTTTAAATACGCAGTAGAGGTATTTCTACATAGTAGAGGACATGTACCTGTATATAAAACCCGCGCCCTATAGTCCGGTGCGCCTTATGTGTGTGTTAAATACAAGGGCGTAGGTTTGAATTCAACTTTGGTAGGGACACTATTCTTCAGTTTCATTGGTCCTTTGCAAAAATATGCAAGCTCTTTTTTTATGCTTAATGTGAGCTTCAGGGCTCATTTTGTTTAAAGAGAACAGCAGCATTTCTTGCTACATTAATACAAATCTTATAAGCACTACATGCACTAGATGCTGTTTATCAATATTTAAAGCATAACTGGCTCTGATGAATGTGGAATTAGGACTTTTTCCACTTTGAAAAGGATTGCATTTAAATTTACCTGCGACTAGGACAGTGTCTGTTTAACCAAATATAGTCTATAATATGTGGATTTATCCTGTGTTTTCTTCTGAAGATAGAGAATTGTACAGAGGTAAACAGAGGTAAAACCCACTCTTATTTTTTTTTATCTAATATGCTCTCTCTGGATCATGCAAAATAATACATTCAAGGGACAGCAAATAAATGCATTGTATTTACATGTGCATTGGAACTATAAGAGGAACTGACACTGAGCATTTAAAGTATTAATATTAGAAGTTGTACATCTGGGCTGTAGTTACTCTGTGTAGCTAATTTCATGTATTTTATCTATGGCTGAAACAATTAATCATATTAACAAATTATTTAAATAATTGTGAACTATGTAATTGATTAATCGTTAACTGGAGTATAGGGCCACTAAAAAGTGCCTTTAGCCGACAGAGCGACCCACTTAGAGCAGGAATTATACCAAGATTGTAAAAAATATGTAAACATTTTGCATTTAAGAAGTAAAAACAAATAGTTTTTGTCTGTCAATATTCTCCATCCAGAACTCTACCAAAGGAAACGTTTAAACGTTTCTGTTTCACCTGGTTTCATTTCATAAAAGATCTTCTTTAAGGAGCCTTTGGCTATATGATTAAAAGATAAACTAAAAGAAATCCTAACGTTGTTAACTTACATTCCTCAAGTTCCACAAATCAAAAAACTCTCTCCTGCTTCTTTACAGAACTCCAATCAGAAGCTTTCGCCTGTTTTAGCGTAGATAATAAGCTTTTTAATTCGGACTAGTTTCGTAGCCCAATATTAATTTATTTTAGTGTCTTTTTTTTTTTCGCGCTCCAAGCACCCCCGCGCGCGCACATACAGACTAGAAAACACGCAATCAGAAAGAGAGAAGGCAGAACTTAAGGCAGAATAATCAGAGAGTTAAACCGCGCAGCACAGTTGATGCGCTGCTATGTGAAAGGGACAGGAAAGAGCAGGCAGCTGCAGCTACCAGGCAGAGAAGCTGCGAGAGGAAAGAAGCGGCTGCTGTATAGTAAATTATAAACATGTGGTTCACATCCAAAACTTTGGTAGGGACATGTCCCTATGGTCCCTATGCAAACCTACGCCCATGGTTAAATACAGTAATGGCACACATAACTGAGACTGCGCCTTTTAGTACGGTGCGCCTTATGGTTGGGAAAATGCGGTAATAACATTTTTTTTGTAGATCACTAAAGGGACAAACGCCTGTTGAAGTAGTTAAAGTTTTATTTTTTTAACAAAACTAAAGGGATAAATGCATATTATGGGTATGCCCACCTGACAGAACACTGGCAAAACTTAGCAACCTGGTTCAAAGACACCAAGTGGTGAAATATTGGTAATCCAAACTGCAGGCACCAGAATAATAAAAGCAAACATATTTTACCGACAGGTTTCTACATTTTAAGTTTTTTGGGCGTTAATAAACTGTTTCAGAGGAGTGATCATAGCGCTCTGCATCAGCAGTGATGCGTTTGTCTCCCTGCCAGGGAGGTTTGAATGTGCGGTTAAACTTTTCAGTGTGGCGACAGCGGAGTATTGGCGACTCGTCGCGGCCTGCGCTGCTCGCCATCCCTGTCGTCAGACCTTTACATTCAGGGAGGTAAACCAGTGTTTTTGTCTTCCAGGCTGCAGGAGTTGACTGTGTGCTCAGAGGATAATGTGGATGTTCATGACATCGAGCTTATGCAGTACATCAACGTGGATTGTTCCAAACTGAAGAGGCTTCTGCAAGGTTTGAATCTTCCTGCTCCCATCTACATTAGGACTGTCAAAGCAAGAGCTTAGAGCTACGCTGAGGTTTTAGGCCTGAAAGACAGAAAATAAAGCCTCCTCCTTCCAGATGAATCAAAGTAATACTCGTTGCTCTAAAAGTTAACTTGACTTTGCTGCTCTAGCATAACGGAGCGCGAGGAACCCAGCAGATAAATCAGGGAATCAGTTTAAAGCAGGGTTAGGTTCCAGAACCACAATCTGACTTGTCATCCTAAACACACAGCCCACAACACGGTGAAGGCTGCATCATGCTGTGGGGATGCTTTTCCTCAATACCAACAGAAAAAGCTGGATGGTGTTCTCTACAGGGGTTTATATAGGCAGTCCTTAACCAGATGCTAACAGTGCAGCTCAGTACTAAACGGACACTGGGTTGATTGTGACGCTGTTTGTCTTTTCTGTAGAAACGGTGTTGAAGTTCCGGGCTCTGAAGAAACCGGCCCAGCTCGCCGTGATCAGCAGCTTAGAGAAGGTCTCCTCTCAGAACAACACAGAATATCTAACCGTGTCTTTTGTTGAGTGGAAGTGATAAAACATGAAGCTGTGTTCCTGCTGTCTCATCGCAGGCCTTCTGGAACTGGGTGGAAAATTATCCGGATGAATTCACGATGCTGTACCAGCGTCCTCAGACAGACATGGCAGGTAGGTATGGATGCAAAACGGTCAACGTTTTGACCTGGAAATTATTACAGTGAATGAAAAAAACCCGAGCCCCTCTAACTGTAAGAAGAAGACAGGGTGTCTGCCTCACGGACTAAAACTGGTATTTTGTTCCCCTTCCCATTCTACTTTTAGAAATTCTAGGAACCACTAGTAAACCTGCAGATTGAGAGCGAAGTGCTCTGTTAGGAACATAAGGAACAATCAGATCTCTGATATCAGATGGAGCTGGTTATTTAGGGCTTTATATGTGAGAAGGAGGATTTTAAATTCTGCTCTGGATTTAACAGGAAGCCAATGGTGGGCGGTCAGCGCCGTCAAAGGCTTCACTGCTGTCCTAAAATCAATCAGGACCACTGACCTACATTCATAACCTAAGCTTTAATTTTCTTCTTTCCAACTGTAATAATTTATTCCAAACAATCTGTCCGCTTAATTTTGTAGTGTTTCTCTTGGCTGCGCTGCTTCCATTCCATTTATGTGGTTGCTGTATTTTTTGTCCAATCAGATTTCAGCTTTACTTCATTGCTTCATTGCAGAGTCTTCAGAATCAGCAGTGCTGGCTGATGTTACCTTAACAATATTAGTGAGGAACGTTTTCTTCAACCAATCAGATTCCAGATAGCCAGCTAGAGGACCCACACTAACGCCAGCATTTTCTGCCCTCTGATTGGTCAGTTAGAGCAAAAAGTCTTACAGCCAAGTTAAGCTAGCGACAATCTGCATTTTAGATTCACTTTTGTTACGTTTTTTTTGGCCCCAATGGTTCATTATAAATGGAGACACAATGACTTCCTCCACAAAGACAGAAGGGTGGATTTGTTTATAAATAATCAGCATATCTGATGAGTGGAATATATTTTATTTTCATGCTTTATACTTCATTTTATCTGGTAATGAGGTGCATCACCTGAGCGAAGTTGATCCCCCCCACCTTCTTCAAATGAGACAAAATTGGTGTCAAACGTTTGTGCTACGTTTCTGCTGGTGTGTGCAGCAAACATTTTCGTTTGTGCTGCTATTATTTTAAAGATAGCATTTAGTTCCAATTCTCCACTTATCTGGAACAAACTTCCAGAAAACTTTAAAGTGTGGAAAGCTCAAGACTAAAAACCCATTTGTTTAGGATTGCCTTCGACTGTTCTAGTTAAACAGTTCATCTAAAACATATTTTCTTTAGTCCAACTGTTTTTAATATTCTTTTTTGTTTCTGCATTTTTTATTTTATTTTATTTATTTATTTTTTATTTTTTCCTACTTGCTTTGTTTCTGTTTTATCTTCCTGTATTTTAATCATGTAAAGCACTTTGCATTGTACTGAATTGTACTATACAAATAAATCTGCCTTGCCTTGCCTAAAGATATAAAGAAATATATCTTTATATAGAGGTCATCAAAGGTCAACCAGCCCCCCAACCTTCTTCAAATCAGACGAAATGGGTTTCAATTAACTCAGCTCCGTTTGTGCAGCAAAAATAGTCGTTTGTGCTGCTTTGGGTTTGAAGATGTTAACGAAAACGTAAAGGTCAAAAGGTCAAATTAGACAAAATTGATGTCAAACGTTTGTGCTACGTTTGTTCAGCAAAAACTTTTATTTGTGCCGCTTTCATTTTAAAGATATAAAGAAATGTTTCTAGTCATCAAAGGTCAACCAGCCCCCCCCCACCTTCTTCAAATGTGGCAAAATGGGTGTCAATTAATTCAGCTGCGTTTGTGCTGGTTTGTGCAGTGAAAATCTTCGTTTGTGCCGCTATCATTTTTTTACAGTCTAAAATTATATAATCATAGGATAGCAACTTAAAGTTTATATGAAATTTCAGAATAAACAAATGTTCACTGACCTTTGATGGCTTCTCCAAACAATTATTAATATCATTAAAATGATAGCAGTACAAAATGGATATATTTTTAAATATGCATTTTCACAATTTTTATATATTTTTAATATTTTGTATTTAAGGCCCCGTCCACACGAAGCCGAACCCTGGCCTAAACGCACAAATTTTTCACCAAACCAGCCTCTCATCCATACGAAGTCGGCGTTTCGGGGGTCTGTAAACGATCTTTTTTTTATTACGCCTTCAGAGTGGGAAGATTTTGAAACGCCGCGTTTCCATCTTTAAGCTCTAACCGCATTTTTTTTCTTACACGCATGCGTCATAGCGTCGCCTCTAAACACGCATGCGCGACACAGTATCACAACAACAATGGCGCCGTACTGTGTTGAATGGTTGCTGCTCATGCTACTCACCCTGCTGTCGGGCTTACAACAGAATCTTCTTCTTCTGGAATATCTCCAGGAAGAACAGAGCAATATCGACCACATAGTTCAGCACCTGAATTTGACTGAACCACGAAAATGGACCCGCAGGGCAACCATGTATAAATATTAGTGCGCATGCCCAACATTTCGTCGCCTATTTTTGCTTTGGCACCACAGAGCCACTTACAGGCCTGGCATACATTTTGCAGCGTTCGTGTGGACGATCCCATTTATTTTACGTCTCCGTCGTGTTCGTTTTGACTTCGTGTGGACGGGGCCTAAAATTAATTTCAACTTTTATAGTTTTGTCTGGCAAAATGTTTCATTTGTACTGCTATCATTTTAATGATATTAATAATATTTTATAGAGGTCATCAAAGGTCAATTAACATCTATTTTTGCTGCACAAATCAGCACAAACGGAGATGAGTTAATTGACACCCATTTTACCTGATTTGAAGAAGGTGGGGGGGCGGGTTGACCTTTGATGACCTTTGATGACCTCTAGAAACATCTCTTTATATCTTTAAAATGATAGCGGCACAAACGAAAATATTTGCTGCACAAACCTAACACAAAAGTTTGACACTACATTTGTCTGATTTGAAGAAGTTGGGGGGGGGCAACTTCACTCAGGTGATGCATCTTCATTCTTAACAGCTACTGATGATGTAAGTGTTGTGGCGCTGTGGTTATAGAGTAGAGGATTGCTGTTGTCTGAACTGGGCTTGTTGCTACATGTGCTTATTATATGTCATATTTGAATACTATTGGTGGTTTGTTTTATTAAAAGGTGAAAGGGTTGATATAAGCCCTTGACACGCATTGTTGCAAATACGCAACAAACCCTTTATATTACCAAGATAGCATTTGCATTCCCTCAAAAAAAAAAAAAAAAAAAAAATATATAGTATATATATATAGATAGATAGATGGATAGATATACATATATAGATATACATATAGATATACACACAAACACACACATTTGGACACGAAGGGATAAGAAGTAGATTAAGCTGATGGGTGCCCACTGAAGGCCTAGGTACCATATACCATATGCCCGCCACTGGATAGGAGGAATGTGACCTTTGAACCTGCAGAGTTCAGAGTCAGCCTGATTCTCCTCTAGTTTCCTTTTGTTAATAAATGAATCCTTTCTACTGTCGGCCCATTCTGGCTCACAAGGAAGGAAATCTGCACAGTCAGACTAGCTGGCTTCTATATATAGATTATCTATGCCCAGTTGGTGTTTTTATTCTATCACATTTTAGCATTAAACTGGATTGTGTGTCATTTCAATCTGTATTTAAACCAGAGGCTCTGCTTCTCATCTGAAGTGCTTTGAAGGGAGACCTGCACTAACGTCTGCGTTTTCTCGTACACAGAAGCTGCAGAGAAGCTGTTCGACTTGGTCGACAGTTTTGCAGAGAGTGCCAAGAGGAAGGCAGCAGTATGGCCTCTGCTGATCATCCTCCTCATCCTCTGCCCAGAGATTACACACACCATCTCTAAAGACACAGTGGAGGAAAGCAAGGCCAACAAGGTGGACAGAAAGAAAGTCACAAACGCTCGATGCTTCCAAACAGACGCTGATGCCATCAATCCACCTGCTTCTCTTCTATGTTGTTTCTGCAGAAACTGTTTTTGGATAATTTGCGCAAAGCTTTATCCGGCCAGGGAGGGAGCAAACAGCTGATGGAGAGCGCCGCCATCGCCTGCGTTAAGCTCTGCAAAGCTTCGACCTACATCAACTGGGAGGATCACTCAACCATTTTCCTTCTGGTCCAGTCCATCGTCATGGATCTCAAGGTCCAGATGGTTGTTTCCTTTACCTGTTTTAAATTATTTATCTATGTGATGCATTAGCTGTGCCCCATCCTCTAGGATAAGTGAGGTAGGGTTGGAAAGAACCAAATCAAAATACGATTTCCCTGATAAGTCAAAACTTCAGGAGCTGTGGATTAAATCTGAATGGCTTCTAAAGTAGACTGTAGAGCCTAAAGACATCATTGCTATGACTAGCTTCAGTGTTAAAGCTGTTTAGCAATGCTTCCAGCAGCGTGGCAACCTCATCTGAGCGCCTTCAATGAACAGAAACTTTCATACTGGATTCTAGTTGCTATTCCCGTCTCTTCCTCCTTTGAATCCAATATTTTTTTATTTATTTTTTTTTATTTCTAACTCTGGATATTAGACCCACATCGTCCATTGGAGGTGCTAACTGGCTTAGCAGCATCTTTTCCTAGTTTTAAGCCTAGACACACGTGCAGCGTTGTACCACCAATAAGTATACATCAAGGCTTTTATTGACCAATAAACTGACCAAAATAAAAACGTAAAACACGAACTGACAAGCAATGAGCCACCAGGACATGGTAAACTTGGAGAAAATGAAACCAGATTGAGCTGCTGGGGTGTAAATTTAGCGTATAACCCTTTAATGCTTTGTGTGGGTTTTTGAACAAACCTCAGCTGCTGTTTTTTGGTGAAGACGCTCATCTGTTCTCTAAGCACCAGATTGGGCCGAGAAGAGATGCTCTCTGTCACGAATGTCTGACCTGGGTGTTGTTGTCTCCGCAGGCTTTGCTGTTTAACCCGGCCAAACCGTTCTGGAGGACGACCGGCAGTCAGAACGCTGACGTGGAGCTCATGGTGGATTGCTTTGTCTCGTGTTTTCGCATCAATCCCCACAACAACCAGCACTTTAAGGTAGCTGCACGGATGTGAGCTTAAAGCCGATCGGTCGCTCTGCTTCTGCTACCCTTTGTCCCGTTTCTCCTCTCTGCCTTTTAGGTCTGTTTGGCTGCCTCCTCCCCTTCGACCTTCCACTTCGTCCTAGTCAACTCGTTGCACAGAATCATCACCAATGTAAGCGTCTAGAGACAATCCGCTGAGTACTTCCTGCCACGTCTTTGCTCTCTCTGACTCGTTCCACCTGTTTCTGCTTTTTCAGTCTCATCTGGACTGGTGGCCGAAGATCGATGCAGTGTACTGTTACTCTGGGGAGCTCCGCTTCATGTTCTCAGACACCCTCAACAGGGTGATCCAGGGCACATGCACTCATCCTCCCATACGCATGACCCCGGTTTGTTTGTTGTCAAACCTTTCATCTAAAAAGGATAATTTGTAGTGGTAATCATGACAACCAGCAAGCTTTATGCCTTCCTGCAGAGTCTGACGTTCATCGGGAAGAAGACCCCAAGCCTTAGGTCCAAAGAGAAAGCTACAGAGCAAGACACTCGGAGTTACAAGTGCCTTCTTCTCGCTCTAGTCAAGCTGATTCATGCTGACCCTAAACTCATGTTGCACGTAAGTCCAGCTACATTTACTACAGGAAATATATCTCAATAACTGCAGGGTTGGACGTTAAGGATTTTCACATTTCATTTGCCCAGAAACAATTTTTACTTGCCCAGTATAATGTTTGCTAAATATAGTTCCTAATATTCATTTTTGTATATATTTCAATGAAACATGTTTGTTTTTTAAATATTTTTTGTAATTCAGTATTTTTTAAGTTTCCAGGTTCCTGGTGTGCATCTGCATGCCTCAGATAATGAACTCAAGCCTACATTACCGTGTTAACATGCTTTTCAATCCTTCCTGCACATTCTTTTCAAACTAAACTTTGCTTTAAACTGTTGTGTGCTTGAAAAAATATAAATTGTAAGGTTAAAAACTTAAGATAAATCACAAGACAGAAGTCAATGTCACAAATGAATAACTTTTATTTTAGAGTCATGGTATGTTTATAGAAGATAATACTATTAATAAAATGTGACTTTTCTATAGAATCATTATACATAGTTATTTTATTCAGGGTTTCCACAGTCTGACATCATTTCAGAATTCCCTGAATTTTAACTGACTCAGGATTAGTTTTCCCTGACAAAATAAATGCAGCAACAAGACAATAATAATATCATAACAGGTCACCAATTTAACATGTTTAGCTCTATAACGCTTAAATACACCTCTCCGATGTCTAAGAGAATAAAATTTAATGAAAATTTTTTAATGTATGATCTGCATCACTGTACAGAAGACTCCCATATGATAGCGCTTTCTAGCTTGTTTGCCGTTTTGGTAACTACATCAAAATTACGGCTGGGTGGACAAAAATCATGCGAGAATGTGTACAAAACAACAAAGATGGCGCTGGCAACGCTTCTGGGTCGTTTTCATCGAATGTTGGTGATTTTAAAGTAATTTTGAGTGGTAATTTTTTTTGCGATCATTGCACTTGCCCGGCCGGCGGGCAAATGCAATGAAATTTGTAGTCTCCCGACAATAAAAACTACCTGCCCCAGGAGATCGGGCGATGGTTAACATCGAGCCCTGAACTGTGTGGCCGCTGAAGTTAACCCTGTATAAGTCAAGCTGTCGTTCTTGATCACTTGGATGTCCATTATAAATGGAGTCTAGAAGCACAAGATCTATATCCAGCCATTCAGCAAAGAGGCTGCTACATGGCTGGACACCTTATTTTGGCATTTGACCTGCTGTAGATTAAGTAAAAAAAAAAAAAGTTAAGTCAAGAAAAAGTTCACATTTATATTTAGGTATATAAACAAAAAAAAATTTAAGTGCCAGTATTGGCATTAATGCCTCTAAGGTTATGTTTTACAAAAAAAGTTTCTTTTACTTTGAGTGTTTTTCACACATTTCTTATAGAAGCACTTTTGTTATTTTTCTTTATATATTCGGGCAAGTTGGCATTTCTAGATAATTTTTTTCCCATCAAAATATCCATATTTTTCTGAATGTTTCAAAGGTAATAAGGTCTTGTCCTGGATTGCAATAATACTGTTGTGTTGAAATGTTGAAGTATTTCACTGATTGCCTTATAAAGGGTTAATGAGTGGGAATCATTTCAGCTTTATTGACGCTTTGTTTACGTGGCAGAACCCGGTGAAGCAAGCTCCAGAGACCCAAAGCAGCACGGCAGAACTCATCACCGGCTTGGTCCAACTGGTTCCTCTGAGCACCACGACTCAGCTGTCACAGGAAGCCATGGAGGTCAGAATGCATCTCACTGCTGTTTTATTGTATTTAGTTATGATTTTCTATCTTTTTTTATCTGAAATGTAAAATATTTATATATTTTATTACAATTTTGGTATAATTATTGGTCTAAGTGGCTGTTTCTAGGACAGTCCCTATGCTCCAGTTAAAAATTAATAAATTAGTTGACGATTATTTCAATAATTGATTCATCATGATTAATTGGTTTAGCCCTAGATCAAAACATCTAGATTTTCAAAAATATTTCTCTAAAGACAGCTTTATTTACCTAAAAACATCCTCATGTTAAGGTATATAAAGTTATTTATATATATCTATTAGGGATGGGACGATTTATGAAAACAGTCCGAACCGTTCGGTTCGACTGTCTCGGTTCGGTTCGTGTGTGTTGCGTTCGGTTCATGCGCTGCTCCTTTTTCTCATAGGCGAAGCGTTTACACTCCAGAGCAGAAGGTGGCAGTACTGCGAACAAAGCCAACCATCAGTAGTAAACAAGAAGAAGAAGCGAAGCAGCGTAGTCGGGTGTAGCAGAAAAAAATCGGTTGTTGTGGAGAATTGTGTGGGTATGGCGAGTGGGAAAGAACAGGAGTTGGAAGACGCGCCAGCAGCACTTTATAGGTGTGCTGTATGGGACCACTTTGCATTTAGAGTGACCTACGATGACGGCGGAAAGAAAGTTGTGGATAAAAGTGCAACAGTGTGCAAGCATTGTGCAACACGTTTTGTTTATGCTAACAGCAACATGACCAACATGTCATGCTAACCCCAAAATCCCTCATACTCCGTCAGCGCTCCGCCCCGCTGCGCTCCAGACCGGCTGCTCAAAGCAAAGCCTACAACCTCCACTGTGGCTCCCGTCCGCTCCCCTCTGAGTTCCTTGGAGATGGTAGAGAGCATGCGCCAGATGATTAAATTCATAGCAGCAAAAACATTTAAATAATTACAATCCATTATTTTTTGGGGGATTTTTTTCATTAATTTCATAATTTTTTATGGGATTTCGGTGTAACAGTCAACATATACCGAACCGAAAACCGTGACCACGAAACCGTGAATCGAACCGAACCGTGGATTTTGTGAACCGTTCCACCCCTAATATCTATTTCTATTATCAACTGAAAATAAATATGACTGTTGGTTTGATGATCTTTAAAATGTATTTTCAATTTTCTATTCAAAATGTCTGGAGTAGCGTTACTCCAGACATGGATGGAAAGTGAAAAATCTTCAAGGTTGGAAACTGGCTTTGTTTTTTAACATTTTTTGGTATATTTGATAAACATTTAAACAGAAAATAACTTTCATAAAGATCATCAAAGGGGGAAATGATTATTTCAGTAAGCTAAAATATATGGTTCCCCACCTTTAATTTTGCCAAACAAAGATCAAATGTGGCCAAATCCACAGGATTTGTTATTGATGAAGAGAGTTAGACCTGCAGGTAAATAGATTCCTTTCCATGTTATGGAGGCGGAACTGATTATTTCAGGGAGCTAAAATATTCATTCTCTTTCTCCTCCTCTTTGGGAGGTAAAGAGCAACTGTTTCCAAATCCTCAAAAATTGTTATGTGTGTTAACATATCGTATACTAGAAATGTCTTTAACCCTTTAAACCTGAACCAGGAAATAATTGACAGAAGATTCAAATTTTCCAAAATTAGAATTATCATTGAATTTTGTGACAAATGAAATAACTATATAAATTTTGTAAAAACATGAAATTACATCATTTATTTACATCAATTTTGATATGTTACGCATTTCTATTTTATCTTTTATATGTTTTCTGTTTACTACATGTGTCTGATTATGTAAGTCAAGGTTTAAAGAACAAAAACATCACACTGATGATGCAGAGGTTTCAAAATCTCCTGTATCAAATATGATACACTTGGCTTTAAAGGGTTAATCCAGAATTCTGTCATAATTTACATTAGAACAGTATTTACAGGAAAGTCTACTCTCTCATCTTTTCAGGAAGTCTTTATTTTTGTGCCCTTCTATCAGCCAGTTTCCATTATCTTATATCATCAATAAAAAAATAAAAAAAAAACACACTACGTGTTGGAAAACTGTTTTGTGACTGAATTTATACGTATGTCAGGCGACAGGTGACAGAAGTTGGAAAAAGACAGATTCTCTTGGTGTTAAAAAAACAACAAAACACAACAGCATAGAAAGACCTTTTCTATTTATTTGTTTACAAATTTAGTAAATAACAGCTGCTGATTAAACTGGATGTTACAACCTTGACATGTTTATATGACTTGTTTTTACTGAGAAATGGATCAGAAGCACCATGAAAATGGTCTGATCTGCCAGATCCGCCTCTCTGGCTTCAATGCGCGCTCCTGACACAGAGGGAACAGATTTTCAAAGGGGAACAGAATTTCACCATTTTAAAAGCAAAAACCTGCACTAAAGAAACAATAACCAGTCGATTTGCTGATTTATTTTTTTCTGCATCAGTAGGATGTCAGCTTCACGCAGCTTAAGCTCCTCCTATTTGATTACACGGTCCAGGGTGTAAACACCGTGTATCTGAAATGCAGAGCGGTGAACTCCATACGGCGGAATCTAAATCTTCCATTTAGAGCCGACCTGGAGTCCCAGTTAAAACAAACTTTTATGAAGTCATGTTTGTGTGATAATGATTGCCAAATGTTTTACCTGGAGGCAGGAATGCACTAATGCGTTGAATCTTCCTGTGGTGTAAATGTTTTCTTCTTCTCTACCCTTCTTTGTTTCCTGTTTGATTTGCAGGCTCTGTTAGTTCTGCACCAACCAGAGACCATAGAGCTGTGGAACCCAGATGCCCCCATCGAGACGTTCTGGGACATCAGGTACTAAAGCAAGAAACCTTTTGGAGAACTTCTCATTTTAAAGGAAAAGTCCGGTCAGCAAGGAAAAAAACAAATGGATCATTATTTATACCTAAAACTAATACCTTCGCGGTGTTTTAAGGAATTTAGCATTAATCAGTAAAAAAATTTAAAGTAATTATAATAATAATTTTTACTGGGGGTCCCCCAAAGAGGCAGTCAAGCTGCGGCGTTTAAAGCTGCCCAGTCTGTCGGGCCTGTCCGTGTCTCCGTGTTTGAAGCCAGATTTGAGACGGTGGAAAATTTGAAAGTGGTACCTTCCATTTTTCTTTTTTTTTTTTTTCTGGTTTTACTTTCCCTGTTCTGCCATCAACCCATCGACCTGTACAGATAATCATGTTTAAAACATTCCAATGATTTCTCGTCCTGTTTGCCTTGTTTTCAGTTCACAGGTGCTTTTCCTAATCTGCCGGAAGTTAGTCGGCCACCAGATGGCAAACAGAACAGAAGTCCTGAAATGGCTGAGAGAGATCCTCATCTGCAGGAACAAGTTTCTGCTGAAGAACAAGGTACCGTCTTGGTTCTGACCCACGGTCCGGATCTGCTTGTAACGATGGGTTTTTCAGTCATCCTGTTGTTCCTGGTCGTTCCAGGAGTGCGCCACCATGGGGGGAGCCATCCCCATCTGCCGGCAGGCGCAGACCAAGCTGGAAGTCTGCCTCTACCTGTTCCTGTGGAGCCCGGACACAGAGGCGGTGCTGGTGGCCATGTCGTGTTTCCGCCATCTGTGTGAAGAGGCCGACATCCGCAGCGCGGCCGATGAGGTCCCGGTCCAGACCATTCTCCCCAACTACGCCACTTTCAGCGAGCTGGCCTCTGTCAGCAGCCTGATAGGAACGGGTCAGTGTGTTTCTCTGAATTAGCCTCTGCTCTGATCACCCCTGTGCAAGAGACACCCCAACAGGGATTTTACTAACTAGCAAGAAATCAGATTTACGTTTGTCCCTTTAGTTTTGTACAAAAGAAACTGACTGTGCAACAGTCAGGTCTATTGTTTCCCCCATGAACAGGGTGATGCTGTAGGATGTTTCCATTCTTTGAGGTGGAAGTCTGACAGCGGCTAAATTTAGTTGGCAGGATGAAGGAACTCGCCAAAAAGATCCATTACAATAAAAACTGGTTCTAACATGAAGACCTGCTGTGTGAATGTAGACTGCCTAGTTTCTCCAGTCCTGACTGAAACCCAGCTGAACCCCCATCATCCCTCCCCATTATAAGCCCCGCCCCTCTGCCAGCTCTGTCTGGGGTAAGGGTGTGCAAAATAATCGTCATGACGATGCATCGCGATTTTTGTGATCTACTGCATCGATTCTTGAAGGCAAGAATCGATTATAAAAAAAAAAAAAAAAAAAGAACAAATATAATACATTAATGGTTGGCGCACATCAGCCAAACGCCCGCTGCCTTGCATCACAAGCATGTCCGGCCGCGGCATACTGAGACGAGTCATATGAAATAAACATGGAGGACACTATGAAAATTCGCCCTGCGGCTCCATCACATTTCAAGTCAGATGCTTGGATGCATTTTAGCTTTAAAAACAAAGAAGGTAAAAATGAAATTGATAGGACGCACGTAATTTGCAAAAGGAGAAATATACATTTGAATGTTTTTTATTTCATTGGTTTAAAGGACCACTGAGGCCATGTAAATGGCACTGATTATCCTTATTTTGTTATTTTAAGTTTGATGAATCCTAACATCTTTTTTGTCAGTGTGTCCACGCCAGTAATAGTAATATTTCGGTCCAGTATTTGTTTTCATGGCAACACCTCCAAAAGTACAAATACAGCTATGTATGAATTCAGTTGCTTTCAGTTATGTATCAATTGAAGACATTATCCAGATCACACCCAGCCAGTCAGCCACTGGTAAGGGCTGTATCTTTTTCTTACAGTGTTCAGTGAAAATATCGCGATGCATCGCAATATTTCAAGTATCATGATGCATCGTGATAGAATCGCATCGTGGCACGTGAATCGTGATTTGAATCGAATCGTGACTTCTTTGCCAATACCCACCCCTAGTCTGGGGCGGGTTATATTTTCACATGGTGAGTTGTACTTAAAAATTGTATTCAGTTATTTAAGAAGGTTTAAAGCTAAAGTCTGTAAGTTTTTAAAAATCACTTTTTTGTCATATTGGCTAAAACTGTCCCTATGCCCAGACAGCAGTACATGTGATATGTAACCTGTGAAAAAAACTGCTTCAATTGGTCCCGCCTACTGCCTGTATTGCAATCTGGAAAGAATATTTCGGGACGAGACAAAACAACCAATCACAGCCAGAGGAGCGTCTGATGGAGTGTCAATCACAGCTCACACACGCTGAATCCCGCCCCCCCCCCTTTCACCGCTGAACCTGCCGCCTTGTAACTTCGGTATAACCAGCATCTTATATCTAGCTGCTTGGAGGTGAGTGTTATCGCTCTTACCGGTTCACACTCCATGCCGCGTACGCTGCTTGGACGCTTCTGGTCGCATGCGGTAGCCGCGCAGATGCTGTGAGAGGGGTGGAGCTTGGAGGTGGGGCATGAGTGAAGCAGAGAGGGTGGGGGAGTGGCGTGAAACCTGTTTTTCTTCAAATTTTCAGTCGAAGTCTGCTCTCTTCTCAATGTTACAGACTGCTGCCTTAACAGTTTTCTATCTAACTGAGGTTTGTTTCAGCGGAATTATACAAATTAAAGATTTAAAAAGTTTGATTTTTAAGTAGGTTTTATGTCTCCTGTGAAGAGCTGAAAGTTCAGACATTCAGATAAGCCATATCGTCTCCTCGAGGACTTGGACTAAACAACTTTTTTTTTTCTGCATAGGTCGCTCCACCTTGCAAAAAAGAGTGATGGCCTTATTAAGAAGAATAGAACATCCCACACCAGGAAACATTGAGGTACATCAGTGTCCAGCCTTTACAGCTTTATAAGGACTGAGCAGCGAAGTGCTGTGATAGCCTATTGTAATTTGAATGTTTATTATTAGCTGTTGGATTTTTTTGGTAATATGGAAGTCTAAGGTTTTTATTTGAAGGCTGAAGGTTTTAATTGTTTAAACGCCTTTTTGAACTTTTCAGGAGGTCCTTTGAAACATCATGCTTCATTAAAGAGCTGATTTGCAGACTGGCTGTTTTCTGAACCAAGCATTCTCTCTTACTGTACCTGGTAGTTATTTCAGTTAAGCTTCTGTTCATTTCTCGCTTTCTGTGCTGCTTGTTTTAGGCTTGGGAGGACACTTACACTAAATGGGACCAGAGCACCAAACAGATACTGAATTTCCCTAAAAACAAGGCAGATGATGGACAGGTAAGATTTTAATCGGAATAACATTAGCAGGAGATTCAGATAAATGAACTGATTTATTTACATTTAGCTTTTATTGAAAATTGATGTTTTGATAGGAGCTAGTTTTTGTCATGGATTCATTTGTAAAAGCAACTGTTTTCATAATTGACTTCCTCCAAACTAGAATCTAATGTGGAAGATAAAAAAAAATCTTCATGGTTTTAGACACACAGATGTTAATGTTTATTCTCTGAGGTGAGGGGATCTCTCTTTATTATTGATAATTATAATCTTAATTATTTTATTAAATAATACTTATTTTATGAAAGATTAATTAGAAATGTTAAGTTAAAATGTATCATCGAGGTTCTCTATGTTGTCTTGGTAGATGTGGTCATTTAAATCTTTTAATTTGAAGCCGTTATAATTTGTGGCGTCTTTCCTTATCCAGACGTTGTTAATCGATCTCAGTACCATCCCTCTAAAACCGCATTCAGAAGAATGTGATGAGTAAAGTAGCGTTCAGAAGAATTAACGGGTGATGCAAACTGATTCCAATTTGCACATAGCTGGAAACTCGGAGTCAAATGGAGCAACAACGCATCAAACTTTTTTAAATTTGCTTTCTGGAAACCAATCAGGGACTGGATGTGTTTTTTATGTTGGGTGCTGGATCCCTCTAACCTGACAACAGCCAGATGCATGTCTCGCTCCGCCTAGCTCCACTCACATACATCTGGGACACCGCCATAGGAATTGCCTTTACTGAAGGCTGGGCCTTATCAAAACTCCTTGCATATGATTGGATAAGCCACTTGTCTGTCATCTTTATCGACGTGCTATTTCAACCACTCACACCGAAGCTAACCCATGACACTGTGAGAGGAGGAGCCATTTGGTAGATCAAGCTCTTGCCAAATCCGGTCGGGAGAAGGGCGAAAACATCGTTTCCACCAACAAAAGCCTTCAAAGCTGTTCTCTGAAGTTCTTTTAATGAAACAATATCAGATAGATTGGACAACACAGAAGAAATAGCAGAATCAATGCTAACGCTTGCTTCCTCGATGCGAGCCGCCATTGTTGTTGGAATCTCACGGTCGCTTCTCCACTCCAGGAAACACGCGCCCTGCGTCCTGATTGGCCAGACCATAAATTTGGTTGGGTAAATCACTTTCAATGAGCGGGTTCCCAGATGTATGTGAGTGGAGCTAGGCGGAGCGAGACATGCATCTGGCTGTTGTCAGGTTAGGATCCCTCTGCCACGGTACAGAACCTTCCTGATTCTGGGCTTCTGGAAAGTTGGAAGACATCCTGCTGCAGGTAATAGAGCAGATTGTAGTACTGGCCGAACTGGGAGGAGATCTGGTGGAGCCAGGAATGATAATGCCATAGGCATGGTTCGCAGTGGTCTCTAAGTAGAAGTTGATAGAAAATGCTCTCTCCATGGGTGTAGTAAGAAAATACGGCATCTGTCTGTGGGTGTTACTTGTTGGGGCGTTGAGACGTTCCTCATTGGAGTGCTTCTTGCTGCAGCAGGGCTTGTTGGGGTGTGGCTGATCAGGACGTTCCTCATGGGCGTGACAACTTGGGTCATTCATTGTTGTGGCACAGCTCATTACGGCGTTCCTCGTTGGGGTGTGGCTCATTAGGGCAGTTGTCTTAGGGGTGTGGCTTTTTGGGGCGTTCCTTCTTGGGGCTTGGCTCTTGAGGGCATTTTTTGTTTGGGCGTGACTCCCTAGGTCATCATTGTGGCACGGCTCGTTAAGGGCGTTCCTAATTGGGGCATGGCTCGTTGGGGCTTCTGCTCTTTGGGGCGTTTCTTGTTGAGGCGTGGCTCTTAAGGGCATTTTTTGTTCGGGCATGACTCACTAGGGCATTCCTCGTTGGGACGTGGCTTGTTAGGGTGTTCCTCATTGGGGCGTGGCTTGTTAGGGTATTCCCAGTTGGGGCGTGGCTTGTTAGGGAATTGCCAGTTGGGACGTAGCTCGTAAGTGAATTCCGTGTTGGGGTGTGGCTCTTTAGGGCTTTTCCCGTTGGGACCGGCTTGTTAGGGTGTTCCTCATTGGGGCGTGGCTCGTTAGGGCATTCCCTGTTGGGGCGTGACTCGTTAGGGCATTCCCTGTTGGGGCGTAGCTCGTTAGTGAATTCCCTGTTGGGACGTCGCTTGTTAGTGAATTCCCTGTTGGGGCGTGGCTCGTTAGAGCATTCCCCGCTGGGACGCGGCTTGTTAGGGTGTTCTTCATTGGGGCGTGGCTCGTTAGGGCATTCCCTGTTGGGGCGTGACTCGTTAGGGCATTCCCCGTTGGGGCGTGACTCGTTAGGGCATTCCCCGTTGGCGCGTGGCTCGTTAGTGAATTCCCCTTTGGGACGCCGCTTGTTAGTGAATTCCCTGTTGGGGTGTGGCTCTTTAGGGCTTTCCGAAGGGGCGTGGCTCGTTGGGGCATTCCCCGTTGGGGTGTGGCTCGTTGGATTGTTCCTCGTTGGGGGGTTCCTTGCTGTGACATAACTCGTTAGGGCGTGTCCACTACCTCAAAACAGGTTTACTCAGCTCGGAAGTTTTCAGGTCATTACAGAATGTTTCTGTACCCCCACAGCAGGAGTGGATCAACATGACGGGCTTCCTCTGCGCTCTAGGGGGTGTTTGTCTTCAGCAGCGTAACACCCCTGGTCCTGCCACCTACAGCCCACCCATGGGTCCCCAGAATGAACGTAAATCCTCCATGATCTCGGTGGGACCTGGTGATACGACCAGCCCTGCTCCTTCATCCTGCTCCTCCTCTGCCTCCAGCGAGACGCCCGTCAGCCGCTTCCTTGACCGACTTCTGTCCCTGTTGGTGTGTGGCTATGAAAGGGTGGGCCTTCATGTCCGCACCAATGTCAAAGACCTGTTGGGGCTGGAGCTCAGCCCTGCGCTCTACCCCATGCTCTTCAACAAACTAAAGAACAGCATCGGAAAGTTCTTTGACACCCAGGGACCGGTGAGTCCAGTTCTAGGAACATAGCTGGCTCTCTGCCTGTGCCAGGAGAGCTTTGTTCTAAAGGGGTTTCTGTCAGTTCGTATCATTAGTGTGACCAGATTTTGGTTTCTGAAAAGGACACTTTTTTTTCAATGCATGAAAAAAATCATTAATAACAGCTGATTCTGATGCCAAAATTTATATATCATGCTACCCTAGAAGTACAATTTCAATTTCATCCAGAAAAAAATGGATATGGTGCATTTTAAATATAGCATAGCATTTTTTTCTTGTGAACTTTGTGGTAAACTTGGAGATATAATTTATTTCATGTTGCATTATGTAAATCTGTTTCACCTTTAAATCTGCAGCTCTCCCTACTTCTCTTTGCTTTGTTTAAAAAGATTTCTGAACCTCTTTACTAATATAATGATGCCAGAAACTAAATTTCAAGATATGTAGAAGCTCTGCAGTCTGATTCTGTCTGTCCAATAAGAAAACATGTTCATTTTAACCTGTAACTGTGAGTCACGGTCCTCTGAGAAGCCAAGATTTTTTAACTAGTAAAGAAGAACAAATCATGTTTTCTCAAGCTTTATAATGCCAACTTGTTTAAACTTACAATCTGTTGCCATTTTTAGCATAAAAGGTAATATATAATATATATATATATATAATATTCACTGATTGTTGCAGCCAGCAAAGAGCCCATCAAGCTCTGATATTGGCCTAGCATCCACAGGTGCAGCAGCGGGTCTCTGAAGACAGAGGGCGCCAAAGGAAAACCAAAAACAAGCCAAAAAAACACCTGTGGATAAAAAGCTGTAAAAAGCAGAGGGCAAACGTTTGCTCCAACAGGCAGCTACATGCAGGCTGAGATGAGAGAAGCCCTTGATTTGGTCGGTAGTGATATTAGTGAACAGCTTAGTGTTTTTATCAGGATTAAAACTTGGGAAATCAGTTAGCTTTACTGTTAAAAAGTGTCTGCATTTTTTTTTTTTTTACTGTTAATAGTTAATCTGAGCCGTAGACTCTGTTTCTGTCATATGTGTCACATTCAGCAGTGTTGGGGCCCTGTCACACCGGGCCGATTTGGCTTACACTGAATTTCTATGTATGTTTTTCAAGTTTGGGCATTTATATTTATAACATAACAAGTCCAGAACTTTTATGTCCAACAACAGCCTAACTTGTGCATAACGCACGGCAGCATAATGCCCATCAAATGATACACAAGCATCATTTGATGGGCATTACGAAGCATTAATTAAAGCTGCTCCACAGAGGAAACCCGTTCAGCATAAAAAGATATCTTTGATCGCAGTATTAACCTAGCTGCTATTTACCGCCCGCCCCCCAAAATTTTTTTATAAAATTAATAAAAAGAAAGAAGGTTAGCAGTCGCAGGAGATTCATCGTCATGTCTCCTAGGAGGTTTGTTGGTGGTGGGCAGGAATGCAGGGAGGATCCATCACCTTCTGGCTCCCCCCTGATGGGGATGAAGTCTGGAGGAGAACTGACGGTTTCCACCTGTGAACCCCCTTGATAAGTTATGCATGAGTTATGCACATGCGACTCATAGGTTTTGGATAAGCTAGACACCACGACTTAGAAGTAACTTAGGCTACGTTCACACCGCAGCCTGAAGTGACCCAATTCCGATTTTTTTGCCCATATGTGACCTGTATCTGATCTTTTTATGACAGTCTGAACGACACAGATCGGATTTTTTCAAATGCGACCCAGGCCACTTGGATATGTGGTCCTGAATCCGATACGTATCTGATCTTTTCAAATGCGACCTGTGTCTGTACGGCCAGGTCGCATTCATCCGACCTACACGTCATTGATACTTGACAAATATTACTAAACGTTACTAATCTGCGTCCTACTAAGCGGAGGCGGGAAAAACTAACAACCATGGCGGAAGATAACACAGAGAGCAGTCAATGGAGAGAAAGTGAGGTTGCTGACTTAATTCATATTTAGAAAGCTCGATTCAGACCAAACTCGAAGGGTCTTACCGGAACCGGGGGAGGGTCTTTCTTTTTGATCTTCTTAAAAAGATTTCGTTCGTAATGTGCCTGCTCCTGTTGGAGAAGAACTTAAAGAACGCAATATACGCTGCGGTATTACGAGTCATGTTTACTTCCGCAAACACTGAGGACGCTTGCTACGTGTGACGTCATCGCGTCCTCGAGTGCGCATGCGGGACACTTCGGTTGGACGCATTCAGTTCACACAGTAGATCACATACAAGTCGCATATACTTGGAAGTGTGAACGGACACGCAAAAAAATCCGATTTCACAAAAAAATCGGAATTGAGCATTAAGGCCTGCAGTGTGAACGTAGCCTTACACTTGATGTATGTCAACGATCAGATAACTTACCTGTAACTTATGGCCCATATATGGCATACGCTGGCGCTTGCCGCATGTCGACGTGTGCCAGTGTGTTTCAGTGTGCTCATAACTTATAACGCATAACGTATCCAGCATATGGCAGCGTTTTAGCCAGATTTTCCGAAAGTCAGGCTGACTAAATTGTCAAGGTGTGATAGGGGCTTTATGATAATCATGAGAGCTAAGGCTCTTTGTTTGTTTTGTTTTATTGTTTATGATTGTTTTTAAAAGCTAATTCTTCTTCAGTTTGACTTGTAAAGTTTTTTTTTTTTAGGAATCCAGCAGACTTGATGCCTCTTTTGGTTTTAGTCGGATTAGACTGAGCCACAGCTGCCTCCTTGATCCGATCTGATCCACTGCTGACTTAATTATTTCTTTTATTTATTTATTTTCTTAAGCAAACACAAAGTTTTAGTTCAGATCAAGTTCTCCTTGGTTTGGAAAAATAAAGTTCCAAAGTGCATCAGCAACCCCCCCTCAGAATGCCTCTAAATTAACATTACGAAAGTTATGAAGTGGCCTAGTCAAAGTACAGACTTAAATCTGACTGAGAACTGCAATATGACTGCTGGTACAGGGAAACCCTCCAATGTGGCTGAATTAAAATGATTGAGCAAAGTAAATTTTGCCATAATCGCTCCACAAGGCCGTTAAAATACTGTCAAACGGGTGATTATAGTCGTTGCCGTGGAACATCCAGATTTAGGGGGATGATTACTTTTCCACAGGTTGGTAGATATTTTTATAAGTTAAATTAAAGCAGCCTTTGAACAGTGCTTTTTAGATGTATTAATAGTACCGGTAAATTTTCCTGGTGATAACCTGGATCATTTTAGGGTCAACATTTTCCCACATCTTTTTAAATCATTAATGGAGGATTTCATTAGTGTTTTTTTTTTTTTATTATTATTATTCTTTAACCCATTCAAGCTAAATCCAGACCACCTTCAGTCAAAGAGGTTTTTGGTGAGCTGGTTCTGACGGTCAGTCCATAGTGTCCATGACTCTGAGCTGACGCCGTCTGTCTGTTAGTTTATTTATAAACTAGTTTTGCTTTGGTTAACATGGATTAGAAGTTAACAGATAAGGAGAACACAATGAAGTTTGGTTGTTCTGCTGAATGGGATTAATCCTGGAATGTTCTCAGTGACTCTGTGTGTTTTCAGGTTCCCATTAATGACACCAACACCCAGTTTGTAGAGCAGACCATCGCCATCATGAAGAACCTGCTGGATAACAACACAGAGGGCAGCTCGGAGCACCTGGGACAGGCCAGCATCGAAACCATGATGCTCAACCTGGTCAGGTAGGAAAAACCCATCTAGAAATGTTTTAAAGGAAAAGTCGGGTAAGCATGGAATAATCACTGAATCATTATTTATATCTAAAACTAATACCTTTGCGGTGATTTAATGAATTTATTGTTAATCACTAAAAAAATAAAAACAATAATTTCCGTCATGATCACTGAGTCCGGGAGCGGCCATTTCTGCTCAAATATAGAAACCCCTCCCTCCTGCCATCTTCCGGCAGTGACGTCACGGTGCGGTTAGCCTAGCGCCATTCTCCCCGCTTTACAAGCAAAATCAATTCAAGCTACTAGATAATAGCGCGTTGTGACAAACACCAGATACAGCACTGGGACTTGATCAACAGCCGATACCGCACCGTGACGTCATAAACCAGTAGGTGGCAGTGGTGTTCTTTGACAGACATGGATGCCTCCAATAAAGCGCATTCAAATTAAAATTACTCTGAATTAAAAATACTTATCGTTTATTGAACATTATGTAATAATTTCTTATCTAAATTACTTTGAGAAGTTTGAATTATGAATATGAGTGAACTTCTCCTTTAAATTCACTTCAGACAAAATGTAAACATTTTTTAAAGTTATAAAAGTTTTGAATTTCACTTGATTGGAAACGCTGCGAGTGAACGGTCATGTATTAAAGAGTTGTCCAGCATCACCAGTGCAGCGCTGTGAATAGTCTGTTCCTGTGCGCTGCCTAGCCGGCTAGGCTAGCTGCTGCAGTTACCTGCAGCGCCAGTCAAGTCACTTGTAAGTCTTATTTCCTAATCCTGTCTCTAGTTCTTAGTTTTATGTAATTGCACTTTTCTTCTGAAGTTAAATGTCAAATAAAAATCATTAGAGTTTGGAATCATCCAAGGTTGGCATCCCGATTAATTAGTTTTGAAAACTACAGTTTTTATGAAGAAATTCTAGCTATGGCCTTCACTGCAAAAACTATCTAAAAATGTCCTAAATTAAGTGTACTTACCCTTAGTTTGAGCAGGTAAATAAGATAATCTGCAACGGAATGAATATTTTAGCTTTATTTTATATTATGCACTTGAAATAGGAGACTGCTGTTGTTGTTTTTTTTTTCTTATTTCAAATGTAAATTTTCATCCATTGGCTTAATTCAAGAAAAAATGCACTTATTTTGAGAAAAAATGACTCATTTAGATTTCCTTTTTTTGCATTGTTTAACACTAGAACTCCCAATGCCATCATTTTGATGGTTCTGAGATTTTAAAGGGAAAGAACTTTATTTAAAATTAATCTTATGTTTCTCATGTTAAATGACTTTTTCTGTTTCTATATTTTCTTCATTTTCACATAGTTTTTTAAAAAATGAAATAAATGTGGTTAATTTTACCTCCATCTTGAAGAGCCGTCGATTTGACGGCTCTATTAGTTGCGATGTAAATTCTTCCCGGGTTGATTGACTTTCGGTACCGTTGCCTAGCAACCAACATTCTACCAAGAACTCTTTGGCTAATATGGAAATGGCTTTCAGAAGAAATCTAACCATGAAACAGGCTTTAGAAATCCTTCAAAATATTCATGATAGCGATTCAGGCGGAGGGGGAGAGACCGATGTGGAGGACTGGGGCTCAGATTCTGACAGCGAGTCCGAGGATGATTACCCATAACACATTAGTAAAGTGACCCAGTGACCCATCACACATTAGTAAAACTTTTGTTCAAGCACTGCTAGCACCTTAGTCGGTCCACTCAGCGGCCCAGAAACCAAACCAGAGCCCGCAGTCTAAAATAACCACACACAGGTCGGCTGAATATGTCGGATCAGATGATTAGAAAGGATTCTGTAAAAGCTCAGACAAGAAGGTGGCCTGTTGCTGTAGTTTGCAGCCGCCTGGAAATATCAGCTATAAGTGCGTTGGTTTTTTCAGGAGCTGTTTATCACTTTTTCATGCAGTGATTTTATCCATGAACTGGTGAAACAGCTGTGGGCAAACCGCAGGTTTCAGCCCCTCTGCCGCTGAAGAGCAGCGTTGGAGAGGCACAGAAAACAGCGCCGGGTGCCTCAGCGCTGCACAGAAAAAATGCTCATGTTAAGTTTGTCAGAAATGAGAAAAAAGGTGGTTTGGGGGGAATCAATCAATTTCTTAATATAAAATTGTAATTTCCAACTTTGAATCTCTGTAGTAAAACCAGGGTTCCCGCGGGTCCTTAAAAAGTCTTAAAAGGCATTGAATTCTTCAATATAAAATTAAGGCCTTAATTGGTATTAAAATGTCTTAAATCAGTCTTTCCTAGTCTTAATTTTTAAAACATCATAAATAGGATTATTTTTATTTTTGTATTCTCAATAAAACATTAAAATTTACCTTTTTTTTTTTTATAAAAAAAATAAATAAATAACGGCTCACCATTATTGGTTCCGTCCCGATAGCAGAACCAATAAAAGCGTTGTTGCAGCCGGGACATTTGGGAGATGCTCATATTTTCCAGACAAAAAGTAAATGGTGCAAGTGTAAATGTAATGGAAATTGTCTCCAGCCAAGAGTTTTCTCCATGGCTAAAACCAGGGAACATACATGAGGCTCAGTGGATTTAGTGCAAGACGCGATTCAAGCTCAGAACGATGGGAATTAAGGCAGTGGAGTCGCACATGCGAAGCACGAAACACAAAGCGTCAAAATCGAGAAACAGCCGGTATTTCCCGGTTTAGTTCCACCCTTGTCTCTGCAACGCCTCCACTTATCACCAAATCAAACATACTAAGAAAACGATACAAAGAAAATAGCTGCAAAAAAAAAAATGGAACAACAACGTTTGTGAATTCAGTTAAATAATTGTTAAAACATATCTGTCATTTGTGTGTTTTTAGCTTTCTTCCTGTATGGGAAGCTTTTCAAAATATTAAACATTAGTGCAGTGGTTTATGTTAAAATAAACCTTTGGGTTAAGTTGTCGCAAGCAGGTTTTTCTTGTGTTTCTTGTGAATTTGGTCTTAAATTTTTATTTCAAGTGGCATTAAAAAGTCTTAAAAAGTCTTGAATTTAACTTTCCTTGTGCTGTAGGAATCCTGAAAACTGTCTTACTCTACGGATTTATTTTTAATATAAATTTAGAACGCTAATAATAATAGCATACAATACAGCATTTGAAAAATATATATTAGACCTGTTTTTTGAGGTTTACATATCCACTATGAGTTTATATCGCACACTAGAACCATCTCAGGTGATGACATCGTCACTGGTCATGCGTTTTATTGGGAAAAATGTCACCCGTCAAATTAACGGCCATTGGAAGGTCTAGTATGATCAGAATTCTGGGAGTCCTAGTGTTAAAGACACAGAGCATGAGATGCTGTGAGGAAATCCCAGTTTTAAACTGATCTGTTTGTTTTTTTTTAATCACCAGGTACGTGCGCATCCTGGGCAACGTGGTCCATGCCATTCAGATTAAAACCAAGCTCTGCCAACTGGTTGAGGTGATGATGGAGCGTCGAGATGACCTGTCCTTCTGCCAGGAGATGAAGTTCAGGTTAGTGTTCCTGACTATAGATTATAGACGACTCTGTATGATTTCTCTCAGCGCTGAATAGCTCTAACTCCTTGTTTTTTTTTCTAGGAACAAGATGGTGGAGTACCTGACAGACTGGGTGATGGGAACATCCAACCAAGCTGCCGATGATGACATCAAGTGCCTGACAAGGTGCAGCTCCTTGGGGTTTTTTAATTCATGTCATGCAAGATGCTGAGCATGCTCCCCTTAACGGCATGTTGTGATGTTTGATCTGCAGAGACTTGGACCAGGCCAGTATGGAAGCCGTGGTATCCCTGCTGGCTGGTCTCCCCCTGCAGCCGGAGGAGGGGGACGGCGTAGAGTTGATGGAGGCCAAGTCTCAGCTTTTTCTCAAGTAAGGAGACTTTAAAGGGGAACGCCAGTTCTTTTATATTGGGCCCTTGAATTTACATTATTACATCTGTTCTCATCTGTTCTTGTAAGTAGAGCCTGCTTCAGTGTGAGAAGGCCTCTGCTACAGCTGATTTGGTTCTAAAAACAGAAAGCATGTCTCTACTTGTACTTTCAACTGAGTAGGAACACAATTAGAGATCAATCCCTACAGTGGGCGCTGGTTGGAAATGGCCACTTCACTCACGCTCCGCGTGTTTCACATCTTGTGTGAAAAACATGTGACTACTATAGCCACTAGGTGGCAGTCTGAGTCCATTTCGGCGTCCCATGAGTCAGATTAGATAGGTGAATGAGCAGACTGGGAGGGGAGGGCTGAGCAGATTATTGTTCCCCAGGTTTAGCGTAGAGGGTAGGGTGAATGGGCTGCAATTCCAAAGGTTAAGGGTTCGGTCCCAGCTGTGGTCAAGTTATTAATGTTGCCCTAAATGTTTTTCTTTTTTTTTTAATCACTTGATGGCCTATGATATCAGAAATTGTACAATAACTTATTTATATATATTACGGATAGTAGCCTATTATGCTGTTTGACTTTATGGCATCTTTCTTTTATTTAGATCAGCTGATGTGCGCTCCACCTTTCCAAGGAATTACATTAGACCATAGGGATTATCATTCTACAGCCTCAATATCTTACTCTGATAATAATAGGCGTATTGTTATTTTTATTATCATCTAGCTGGTAAAATTTTCAGTTTGATCTGGAAAAGGACGCTATGATGCCTTACAACAAGCATGAAAGGCCCAACCCCCCAGGCTTTTTGGGCACATTATGCAAGAATGCTGCTTGCTGCCGCGATGAATAGCGGCGTTTCTAAACTGTTGTCAGGGATGGTTGTGACCCACCCAAAAGTCAGTGAGCTAATCCGGAGTATTTCCATTTTAAATACAGTGAACCCTCGTTTATCACGGAGGTTACGTTCCAAAAAGAACCCGCGATAGGTGAAATACGTGAAGTAGAAACCTTTTTTTTTTTAGAGTTATCATACGATGAAATACTCCATACAACATTGAAATCAGGGAATAAAAACTTTATACAGGCCCAAGCATTTGTTTAACAAATAAAAGTACGGTATAAATGTTAACTACTGTACTGTACTGTAAAATAATATCGTTATAAATACTTTTAATCATCAATACGAAATAAAGGGTTAATATTGCGGGGATCAGCACCGCCCCGCCGTGACGGATTGGATTTTTCTTCCAAAGCCTGCGGTGCAGCTGTGTGTTTTGGAGAGAAGAACATAGTTATGTGATCAACGCGCAAGTTAGTGAGCTAATCCGGTTTATTCCCATTTTAAATCATGTACTATTTAACCACGTATGACCAGAACGTAATCTGGATATAATGGGTTCCTCATCCTGTTCTAAACATCACCAATTAATTAAGCAAACCACTTAATGCAGGAATGCCGCTACTACTATAGCAGTGCTTGAACTCTATTGTCAGAGAACAAGAGGGTAAATGTCTACACATCGGTTTTTCCAAGACAACGATGAGGTCATAGCCTTGAATGGAGCAGCGACTGGCATGTAATATTCCCAGGGCCAAGAGATACATGTCATTTGCTATCAGAAATATATTGATTTGAAATGCAAATAAAAAACATTTTCTATGAGACATTTTCCTGACTTTATGTTTCACTATTATATTATGGGCTACTATATAAATCTTTTTAAGCAAACCTGTAAAAATGTAATGATGTCAGAATATTGGATCCAGAATTCAAGGCGAGACAGGCAGTGGGAAAGTTCAAAACGTTTATTAAACACCAACAGGTGCGCGGGGCTGCTCGTCTGCTGCGGGGCAGATCTCTGCAGGGATAGGAGAATACTGGGCAAAAAACTCTGATTACTTCCAAAGAAAAATTATTATAAGAGCTGCAGAGTTCAGGATTATTCAACCACTCTGACGTTCGCCATAATTTGGCCTTTCCCGCTAACAGAGAGATTACATAGGCCACCTTGGCTCGATCAGAAGGAAACGCAGAGGGCTGTAATTCAAAATGAATTTCGCACTGAGTCAGGAAGGCTCTGCATTGATCAGGGTCCCCTTTAAACGCTTCAGGAGGGGACAGACGCGGTTCAAGAGAAGCTGGACTATCAGTAGCAGACGTGGGTGCGGCAGCTGTCACGGGCGGGGCAGCTGGAGCAGCCTGATTAATAATCAAGGATCTCCTGCATGCCTGATTCTAGCCGGGAAATACTTTGATCCACATCATTTCGCCACTGCCAGGTTATTCTGTAATGATCTCAGAATATTGGACCCAGAATCCAAGGCGAGACAGGCAGTGGGAAAGTTCAAAGCGTTTATTAATCAAAACAGGTGCGCGGGGCTGCTCGTCTGCTGCGGTGCTGATCTCTGCATGGATAGGAGAATACAGGCCAGAGACTGGATGTGGAGCTGAATGCGACTTGGAGCAAAGTCACTGACTTGATTCAAAGTTCAGTTCATTCGCTGAGAAACAGAATCCTGAAGGGAGGTTTGACCAGCAGTTGCGGCGGCAACGCCCCCAGAGTTTCTAGAGAGCGAGCAGCAGACGCAGCTGATCCACAGGACAGAAAACTGGTCATAATCAGGGAAGCAGAGAGACTAAAGAAAGCTAGGAAACGTCTCACCAAAACACACAAATAACCTGGCGCTGATGGGAGGCAAACACACAACTTAGAACCGCAGAACCAATTAGACAGGGAGCAAGGAGCAAAGGAAAAAAAACATCAGCGCCAAGATCATGACAAAAAACCCATTTCCATTTCTTTCGTTTTTAAAATTAAATAAAAAAATTAAATGGCAAAAATCCAAACGTGTCTGCTAGTTTAAAGTCCATCTTATTTATTTGAATATTTAACGAAAACATTGCAGATGCCTCACACGCACACAAAATGACAGAAAGATCCGAGCGTTTTAGTTTCTATATATATATAATACCTTTCAAAAACTGTGAGTGTTTTCAAAAACTAGTGATTTTTTGAAAGAAAATAAAAGAATAAAAACAGTTAAGCATTTTAAACGCATCTTTACAAAAAAGGAACATAACAGCATTTTTTAAATAAATGATTTAATATGAGAACATATCATTTCACCATTTATTGGGGGGTAATTAATTGAATGCTTATTTATTTATTGAACATGTATATGTTTATGTATTTATTTAGATTGGATTAGATGTGATTAGATGAGCTTTATTGATCTCACAGCGGAGAAATTCACTCGTCACATATTGGCATAGAAGTTACCGAAGGTGCAAACATGGAGGAAAAAGGTGCATTAAGAATAAGCAATATATATACCGTATATCCAGGTATATACAGTATAGATAAATAGGATTATTTATCCTATTTATTTTTATTCTTCTTATGAAGGTCTGAGGGCAAGGAAGGACAAATGGAACATCTTAAAAAATGACTTTCATAGAAATTTTAGACAAATAAAACAGTTATTCTACTTGTAGAAAACCAACGGTTGTCGTTGACATCAATTTAAAAGTAGCGTAGCTTAGGGGTGGAACGGTTCACAAAATCCACGGTTCGGTTCGGTTTACGGTTTCGTGGTCATGGTTCTCAGTTCGGTTCGGTATATGTTGATTGTTAGGAAAATCTATCAGAGACAGTCGAACCAAACTGTTCGGACGGTTTTCATAAACCGTTCCATCCCTAGTGTAGTTAGTATGGCTAACTGGCCGAGCTAAAATAGGCTAACCTGTTACCTATTTAGCACAGCTAGCCACAATGCTACCCAGCTCTCCCCATTTATATCATGGTCTTGCATTTACGTTGTTCACCGTTAACAGACTTTTTTTAGTTTTGTTATCGATCAGGTAAAACGCTAATGCTCCCGACTCACCGAGTCACCGGCATGCGCAGGACCCGAGCAGATGTGGTACCTACAGCGTATCTGTAGCTGAGGACGTGGAATGACTCAAACCCCAAACACACGGATACCTAAATAACTAAATGATCAGTATCCTCTGAACATATAAAGCAGTTGCTTTTTATCTATACATTTAAATTTGATCACAATATATAGAGGTATTGTATCATATTAATATCGTATTGTGACCCAAGTATCGTGATACATATCATATCGCAACACCCTGTTGATACTCAACCCTATCAACCACTGCAAGCTTTTTTTTTTTTTTTAAGCAGATACCAATTATTTTCATATATATGAACCCCACCCCCACCACCCAGAAGCAGCTGTGTACGAAGAACAATCTTATCCTGAGGTCTAAGCTTTGGAGAAGAAATCATGAAGAATCCTGATAGTTTGTTGACTCAAAGTGTTTGACTGTGAATAAATCCTGTTCCTTCCTCCTAACAAGGCGGCTCTCTGGTGGTTTGCAGGTATTTCACTCTGTTCATGAACCTGCTGAATGACTGCAGCGAGGTGGAAGACGAGGGTCAGACAGTGGGGGGGCGGAAGAGAGGAATGTCTCGCCGCCTGGCTTCCCTCCGCCATTGCACCATCTTGGCCATGTCCAACCTGCTTAACGCTAACGTGGACAGTGGACTCATGCACTCCATCGGTCAGTGCTCTCTTGGTTTTTGTGTCTTTTTATTTCAGAAATATAAGCTCGTGTTTCTAACCTTCTTGTTAAAACCTTCAGAGTAGAAACGGCGCTAAATCTTTTTCCATTTTAGGCTTAGGCTACCACAAGGACCTTCAGACTCGCGCTACCTTCATGGAGGTGCTGACCAAGATTCTGCAGCAGGGAACAGAGTTCGACACGCTGGCAGAGACGGTGCTGGCTGACCGCTTTGAGCGGCTGGTGGAGCTGGTGACCATGATGGGGGACCAGGGAGAGCTGCCCATCGCTATGGCGCTGGCTAACGTCGTCCCCGGGTCTCAGTGGGTATGTAGCCAAGGTCTTTTATGTCTAAAATCAGTACTGATCCCTGTACTCCTCTACTTCTGGGGATGTTGGTGCTTCTACGAAGGGAGAACCCAGCATCCAGAAACATCAATGAAACTTTTGGCTAGGGCTGGGTAATTTAGCGCATTTGCAATACAATCGCAATTTAACAAAATGCAATTTTTAAATTGCAGAGGCCAAGATTTTTAATCACACCATATTTAAATACCTTGATGTTAACTTGAACAACAAACTAGGGACACAATTGTGAAGCCGACAAGAAGGGACAGAGCAGATTGAAGTGCGGGTCCTTTAAGCTGGACATACGCTGTACGATTGTTTGCCCTTTTTACAATTGGGCCGACTTTCAGCCTGATCGTGCCTCCTGTAGTGTACAGAGGGTAACGAGCGGTGATCACCCTCTCATGACCCCCTCCCGATCAGGAATCAAAAGGTCGGGAGAAAAATCACACGTTGGTAATTCAGTCGGCCGTCATAGGATCGCATCAGAGCGTCGGGCCGCACAGAGAACATACATCGTGAGTTTGAGCTGTAGCTGCGTGCAATGGTTGAAAATATCGCACAGTGCATGCCCGGCCTTAGAGAGTGAAGCAAGATGATACAGATCTTCTTTAAGTCTGGTGTGGAGTGTGGGATCTCTCCTACCATCATCTGCTAGGAAAAGAGCATCAGAGCTAAGGATAAAAAAAAACTCGGCAAGTTAATTAAGAAGGGCGGCTCTGTTCTAGAAACTCATGAAGAACCTCTAGAGATTATTTCACAATGAAGAATTCTTCAGAAAGTGAAGAAAATTATGCACAACAGTGAGCATCCTCTTCAGAAGATTTTTAAACAGAGTGTCTTCAGTCAGAGACTTCTCCAGATCCGGTGCAAGGCAGACCTCTACAGAAGATCCTTCCTGCCTACAGCTGACAACACCTGCAGCACCTGTTAAAATAACCTATGACTGACTGCAACATTGAAATTCCCTTTGGGATTAATAAAGTATATTTTCATTTGATTGAATTTTACAATTCAATTCAGTTTATTTCTATAGCGCCAATTCACAAAACATGTCCTCTTAAGGCACTTTACATTTCAACCAGATCATACAGTCAAATTGATGAAGTTTTCAATTTAAGGAAAACCAGTTGTTTGCATCGACTCATTGACTCAAATACAATCCCTCACACTAAGCATGCTTGTAGCGACGGTGGAGAGGAAAAACTTTAGATTAAAGTCAGAATTCTGACTTTTTTCCCATACTAAACTGAAATAAAATTTAAAAATCAGTTAACTTATTTTTTTTTTCAGTGGCCCTAATCCTCTTCCGTAGGTTTGCAATTGCAAACTCTACCGAAATTATTTGTAGCCTATGTGGTCGTCCTCACGTTATCTGTCATTGACTTGGGCTACAGTGTAAAACTTTCAGAATCAGAATCAGGTTTATTGCCATTGTTAGTGAAGGAGTTCACAAACTAGGAATTTTTTTGTGGTACACTCATGCAACATGAAACATATAATATTTAAATAAAATTATCAAAATATCTAAAAACTGTGGCTATACATCATGCAATAAAATAGACTAATATATACACTTAAGATAAAAATATGGATATAAAATATAAAAAGTAAAATAGCATCTTACAAGGAGACAACTAGTTTATCAGGTGACCAGTCGGCAAAATGCTTGTTTGGTGCTGCTGAATGAGACATTTTAATGCACAACAAAATGATTTTGCTTGATCTGTATATTACCTGGCTAATGGGGCGGGGAGAAGCAGCCTGTCAGCGACCGTTCCTGCTATCTGAAGACGCTACTGAACTGCTATGATGCTGCGCATCTGGCATGCCCTGCGGGCGACCGCGCGAGTTCAAAGGAAGAGAGATAGGCTGGTCGGGTGTGCGTAAGTAGGTGGCTCATTTCGGGTCATTGTTTTATTCGTTTTTAATGGCTCAGGTTTTCAAAAGATCATTTCAAAACCGACCTCAGTAAAATCTTAATAATATTAATAATAATAAAAAAAAGGGTTTCAAAAGGGCATTTTCATTGATAAAGGGCAAACTTCCTAGTGCTTTAGCACCACCTAGTGTCTATGTATGCACGCCCCTGCTGAGAGGGAATTTTTTTTACTTATTTGGTCACCCTAAATGCAAAATGTTGCGCAATTCAAAATGGCTGTAACAAAAAAGGAACACCCCCCTCCATATATGAAATGCACAAATTAAGCCATTAAGCACACTTGAAATTTATCCTCGTTCTGATTACAAACGAGGAGGATTTTAAAATGACAGGACAGAGCTGGAGATATCAGCGCGATGGGACGCAGGCTCTCAAAAAAATAAAATAAATAAATAAAAAACTTGTTGCAGTCCAAACAGTGAGTAGCCTAGGGTCGTTGATGACCTGTGTTTTGTCGTTTATCCCCATGTTTCGAGCCATTCCTCAGAAGTTGCTTGTTTACAATGTTGGGCTACGGCGTTGTAGGTGAAGTGCCTTAGGCAAGCCCACTCTGCACAATGAGGAAAGGAGAAACGCTAATCATAATCGGTAGACGTCACAATGTCGATTCATTTTCCCTAAATTATAAAATTCTTAAATTATCACACCGCAAACATTTTCACAGGAGAATCTTTGCTTGTTGATCTAATGTTCATTTCTAGACATGGTGCCCCCCTCGAGCTCTGCCAACATAACCAACAAGCTTACGATGGTTCGTACAGACGTGCAGAAAAATTACTGCAATGCGACGGCGCGATGCTGTCTTCATGTTCAACCATTATTAGATCATTATTATCAATAAAATGTTTTGGATTAATGAGGCTTTATGATTATGTGACTTATTATTGAGAAATTTTCTAGAGGCGCTCAAAAAATAATAAAAAATAAGTCTTAGGGAAGTCTTATTTAAATTTCCAAACAAGAGCAGGACACTAAATGTCTTCCTCCAGCCCTTTGGGTGTTGTTTAAATGCTTGAAGTGGGTTTGTCGCCACACTGAAAGGTAGACAGATTTGCTGCCTTGCAGATCCATGCATAAAAGTAGAGTTAAACACTTTTTCAGACAAAATTTAAAGTGAATTCTTGATACAATGGAGTCTGGGCCAGTAAGTTCTCAAAAACCAAAAGCCTTGGGTGTGACATCTACAAGTTTGGGGTTAGTGCAAAGGAAAAGCAAAATAAAATCACAATTTTGGTGAAAAAAAGCTGCGGGCTCTGTTTCAGGTCGTGATGCGTCTGTTTTCTGATTTCCAGGACGAGTTGGCTCGAGTTCTGGTGACCCTGTTTGATTCCCGCCACCTACTCTACCAGCTGCTGTGGAACATGTTCTCCAAGGAGGTGGAGCTGGCTGACTCCATGCAGACTCTCTTCAGAGGGAACAGCCTCGCCAGCAAAATTATGACCTTCTGTTTCAAGGTAGGAAACTCATCTACTAACAGCAAGCAGGATCAGCACCACAGATGCACTGAAGTTTCACCCATAAATGATTTTTGGTTTGGAAGCTTTGATTATTTTCCCTGCCGATTGAAAACCGCTGGAGTGAAGAGCGCTTTGCTTTGCAACGTTCCTTCCAACCATAGCTGCACACATGTAGAACTGCTTCACTTTAGACCCACTAAGTTGACCTTCTGTTATTATGACAGGTGTATGGAGCAGCGTACCTGCAGAAGTTATTGGAGCCTTTATTAAGGGGAGTCATCTCAACCCCTGAACACATCGGCTTCGAGGTGGATCCAACCAGGCAAGTCATTGAACGTCTGCTCTGCTCCATGGATATACTGAAGAACCTGCATCTGTTTCTATCATTAATCAGCTAGAGCTAAAGTTCTGCTCATTGATGCACCTCAGCCTGACAGACGAGTCACAGCAACACAGCCACAGATGTTTCTCACATTGTGTCTAAAAAGGTTTATAATACTATAATTTTATTAAATCCAGAGGTGTCAAGTTACAAAGTACAAATACTTCATTACCTTACTTTAGTAGACATTTTGGCTGTCTATTCTTTCAGGGTTCCTGCGGGTCCTTAAAAAGTCTTAAAAGGCTTCTTCAAAATAAAACTAAGGCCTTAATTGGTATTAAAATGGCTTGAATTAGTCTTTTCTAGGTCTTAATTTTTAAAACATCATAAATAGGATTATTTTTAGTACGATTTATTTGTAATCTGAATAAAACATTAAAATTGACAATTAAAAAAATAAAATAACGTCTCGCTATTATTGGTTCCGTCCCGCTAGCGGAACCAATAAAAGCGTTGTTGCGGCCGGGACATTTGGGAGATGCACCATTAACTTTTTGTTTGGAAAATATGAGCAAGTGTAAATGTAACCAGAATTGTCTCCAGCCAAGAGTTTTCTCCATGGCTAAAACCAGGGAACATACATGAGGCTCAGTGGATTTAGTGCAAGAAGTCATTCGAGCTCAGAACGATGGGAATTAAGGCAGTGGAGTCGCACATGCGAAGCACGAAACACAAAGCGTCAAAATGGAGTTAGAGAGAAACAGCCGGTATTTCTCAGTTTAGTTCCACCCTTGTCTCTGCAACGCCTCCACTTATCACCAAATCAAACATACTAAGAAAACGATGCAAAGAAAAATAGCTGCAAAAAAGACTAAGCACTGGTTATGTTGGGGCTTTAAAACTGATTTGTTTTGTTCCCTGCTAAAACAAAGTTTGTGAATTCAGTTAAATAATTGTTAAAATATATCTGTCATTTGTGTGTTTTTAGCTTTCTTCCTGTTTGGGAAGCTTTTCAAAATTTGAAACATTAGTGCAGTGGTTTATTTTAAAATAAACCTTTGGGTTAAGTTGTCGCAAGCAGGTTTTTCTTGTAAATTTGGTCTTAAATTTTTATTTCAAGTGGCATTAAAAAGTCTTAAAAAGTCTTGAATTTAACCTGCCTTATGCTGTAGGAACCTTGACTTTACTGGAGTAATTATTTTTAGATAACTTTTTACTTCTACTCGTTACATTTTAAAAATAAACTTGTTAGTTTTGTTTCATTTAAGCAAATTTTCTTAATGGCCTGTTGGTATTAAAAAATAAAAACCATCAAAATAATTAGTTTTATCCAGAAAATACATTTCTTTGTTGTAATCGGTGCTGACCCGACTTGCTGCTTACCAAATACCATAATAAATCGTTTTCAGAAAGATACAAAGATAAAATTGACGCTGTTACTATTAGTTATACAACTAAGAAAATGAAGTCTAAGGAAGTTTTCATCCAGAATTGTAGAAAAATTTTCCTTTAATAGAGTAGAGCAGTAAAGCTTCTGTCCTTAACAGTTTTTCCTGCATTAATTTTATACTTTAAGGAGTAAAAAGCTAAAGTTGATACTCTTACAAACATATTTTTAAACAGGATTTATGCTACGTTCAAACTGCATGCACAAGTTTACATGCAAAGTCAAAGGTTGACTGGCAACAAGGCGCATCAAAAGGTCCTGCAGCAGCTGCTGGAGTTGGTAAAATGTAACTTTTTCTGCTTAACGCGTCACATCAACCAATCAGAGAAGCTGATCTGGGAGCTGGCAGGGTGACGCACACAGCACTGCTGATGCAGAGCGCTATGATCACTACTCTGAAAAGGTTTATTAACGCCTAAACTAATTTAAAATGTGGAAACGTACATGAAAAACGCCTTCCAGCCTCGGTGAGCAGGGTGTGTGAGCGTGTGTGAGCTGTGATTGACACTCCATCAGAAACTACTTGGCTGTGATTGGTTGTTTTGACTCGTCCCGAATTATTCTTTCCAGATTGAAATACAGGCAGTATGCGGGACCAATTGAAGCAGTTTTTTTCACAGGTTACATATCACATGTACTGCTGTCTGGGCATAGGGACAGTTTTAGCCAATATGACAAAAAAGTGATTTTTAAAAACTTACAGACTTCAGCTTTAAGACGCGAGAAACCCGAATCTGAAGGAAGGAACGGCTTCAGCTACTTTAGGGCTGAAGATTTTTTAAACTGTTTTATTGTTGTCCGTCCAGATAACCACAGTCAGCTTGATGTGGATGGATCCTATTGTATTGAGTTATTGAGTGAGTATCGCTGGGTGGTTACAGTTAACTGGTTATATATATTCAGAAGAGCGACCTCCTCTGGACAACACTCTGCGGTACATCTATACCTTATGGACAAAGGACCAGAATGTTCACATTTTGGTTAAAGAAGACGGGTGGTTTGAGAGGAGCGTGAAGGAGGCCATATATGTTAAGAGAGAATAACCAACCTTAATCAGAGGGGTTGGACTCAGATTCCAGCTTTCAAAAACCTGCAATGCAGCGATGATAGAGTTGATTCCTTCCCACTATCATGGCAACCCCAACCCCTTTACAGGAGAACAGAAGACCTCGCCTATTCAGTCAGGCCAACAATTCCCTCGAACAACCACCCTTTCAGAGGCATACACTGCAAAAACAATCCAGAAATAAGTAAAAAATGGCTTAAATTAAGTATATTTAGCCTTAATTTGAGCAGGTAAATAAGATGATTTGCCAATGAAATGAGTATTTTTACTCTTAAAATAAGATAAATAGATAATATTTACTTGAAATAAGACGATAAAATAGTTTCTTATTTTAAAAGGAAATTGTCTTGTTCCATTGGCAGTGTCTTACTTACCTCCTCAAATCAAGGAAAAACACACTTATTTTAAGAAAAAATAACTTATTGAGATTTCTATTTTTTGCAGTGTAGACAGGTGTTGGGTGTTGCAGGCTATCAAAGAAGCCAAACGACTGCCCATCCCAAAGGGGTGGACCCGTTCGTCAGGTTCAATTTGCATGTTTTCTAAGCCAAAAGAAGTCTTTGGTTTTTGTCCACTCTATAAAGCCTGGAACTCTACGCTGATTCTGAGGTTTTGTATTGAAAACGCTTCCTGGATGGTAAGCAAAACAAAGTCCAGTGGATTTTTTTAAAACTTTTTTGGAGTTAACTGGTTAGATTGGAATGCTTCATTTAATCAAAGGTTTGTTTGATGTTGACCATAAATGTTTAAGATTTTTAGTGGTTCTGTGAAAACTTTTACTTTGCAGTAAAAGTTTTGAAGGTTGTTTTTTTTCCTACCAAGCACTGAGCTGAGCTACTATTTCCTCAGACTGGAACATGGTGAAAACCTGGAGGACAACCAGAGGAACCTGCTTCAGATCACCGAGCGCTTCTTCCAGGCCATAATCGGCTCGTCCAGCGACTTTCCGCCACAGCTACGCAGTGTTTGCCACTGTCTCTACCAGGTATTCCCTCCCTGACCACCCAGCCTCTCTGTCTGTAGCCATCCACACACACTGTCGTTTAAACATCCTAGACTCCAGCCGCTTCACTTTGGCTCGTTTCATTATCCGCCGCATCAGCTAGAAGGAATATTTAAGTTAGAAAGCATCAATGGACAGTTTAAGCTGAAGTTGACTTTAAAATGAGACCATTGTTTGCTCTGCTTCAGTGTTTATAGGATCTCCTTCCGCTGTAGATAAAATCCTCTGACTTCCTGATCCTTGGTTTGGATGAATCCTTTCACCAACCATCCTATAAACAACCAGCCAAATTTACATTTAGATAACTGTTGGAAGGAATGTCTTTTTCTTTTCAGACCTGCGCTTCCCTCACTTATGCTCAGAACCCATTAACTAAACCAACGCCAACTCCTGAGGCCGTAGAGATGTTTCTTCAGTAACCAATGACTGATTAGATCATATTTATCTGCAGTTCATCATCCAGCAAAGTCAAAGGCCATGTCACACTGCAGGCCTTAATGCTCAATTCCGATTTTTTTTTGGGGGGGGGGATCTGATTGTTGTGCATGGTTGTACACATTTCCAAATATATGCGAATTGTATGTGATCTGCATTCACACAACTGTAGTGTCCCGCATGCGCATTAGAGGACGTAATGAGGTCACAAGCGAGCGTGCTCTGTTTACAGGAGTAAACATGCATAGTAGTGCTGGAGCATTTAAAAAGATCAGATAAGTATCGGATCCACGACCACATAGCAAAGTGACCTGGGTCACCGGATCTTTATTGTTCAGACTGTCATGAAAAGGTCAGATCCAGGTCGCATATGGGCGGAAAAAAAAGAATCCGATCTGGGTCAGGCTGCTGTGTGAACGTAGGCAAAGTCTGTCTCTGCTTTCAGAATATGGATCAGGGATTGTGAAGCCAAAGGGGCGTGGCCTAAACCTCAGTAGAACTTCATCTGTCTGAGCTCCGCCTCTTTCTTCATCCTGTTGTGCCCCATCCTCAGCATGTTATTACCTGCGTAGGAAGTATTTCTAAGATTAGATAAACGCTTAACTCCTTCTGGTGAAGCTGTCTTTGCTTCAGCTCTGGGAATCATGTATTGTTACACGCATGACTTAAATTAACTCGCTGTTCCCTGTTAACACCTTTCAAACCCTCATTCTTTAAAAAAATTAGTTTTCTTTGGATTAGAAGTATGAGTTTAAGAATAAATGCTGCTGCATCACAATATGGAAGCACGTCATTATCATTTGAGAAGTGGATCATATGGAAAAGTGTTTTGCTTTGAAAGGTACCTAAAGTAATCACCCAGTGATTTCAAGTCCATGTACTAATGGACTTTCTTATGATGCATATGGACTGAAAAACAGAACCTTGTGTTTTTTACAGAACAGCCATTTTTAAGCCGGTGCTTACAGTAACATTTGTCCTGCTCTGCCACATCATCTATTAAACTTTGTTAAAGGAGAAGTCTGGTCAGCAAGGAATGATCAATGGATCATTATTTATACCAAAAACTAATATGTCTGTGGGGATTTAGTCAATTTAGTGATAATCAAAAAAAACAATATAATAATAATAATATTTGTCATCATGATCACTGAGTCTGGGAGTGGCCATTTTTGCCCAAATATACACTCTGTGCAGAATTATTAGGCATGTTGTATTTTTGAGGATTATTTTTATTATTGGGCCACAATTGTGTTCTCAATCAACCCTAAAGACTCCTTAATATCAAATTTTCATACTTTTGGAAATTGATGTTTGTTTTTTTTTAGATTTGGCCATTTTATATCTGTGTGTGCAGGTAAATATTACTGTGCAGAATTAATTGGCAAATTAATAAAACAACAAATATATACACATCACACTTGTTTATTTTCACCAGGTAAACCAATATAACAACTGAAAATTCAGAAATAGACATTTGCGACATTAAAAAACAAACAAAAAACAAGTCAGTGACCAATATAGCCACCTTTCTTCACTATGACGCTCTAAAGCCTTCCATCCATAGATTCTGTCAGTGTCTTGATCTGTTTGCGATCCTCATTGCGTGCAGCAGCCTCCACTGCCTCCCAGACACTGTTTTCCCTCCCTGTAGATCTCACCTTTCATGAAGGACCACAGGTTCTCCATGGGGTTCAGATCAGGTGAACAAGGGGGCCATGTCATTATTTTTTCTCCTTTTAGACTTTTTCTGGCCGCCATGCTGTGGTGTATTTTGATGCGTGTGACGGAGCATCGTCCTGCATGAATATCAGGTTTTTCTTGAATGATGCCGTCTTCTTTGATGATACCAGCCCATAGCATTACCCCACCTCCACCTTGCTGTCATCTGAGTTGATAAGGAACTTGCTGCCTTTACTGATCCAGCCTGGTGCCCATCCATCCATCTGGCCCATCTAGACTCCCTCTCATTCCATCAGACCAAAACACCTTGGAGGAATCAGTCTGCAGAAATTTCTTGGCCCATTCTTGACGTTTTGTCTTGTGTGTCTTGTTCAAAGGTGGCCTTTTTTCAGCTTTCCTTACCTTAACCAGCTCCCTAAGTATCGAGCACCTTGTGCTTCCAGGCTTACCATACATGTTGCAGCTCTGAAATATGGCACAACTGGTGGCTAATGGCTTCCTGGCAGCTTCACGCTTCATCCTTCTCAATTCATGGGGAGTTATTCTGCACCTTCTTTTTTCAACACGCTTTTTGCGCCCCTGTTGGCTAGTTGCCATGAACCGCTTGATTGTGCACCGATCCCGCTTCAAAAGCTGGGCAGTTAATTGGTAGTTGGCTTTCAAGCCTCTACAGCTTAGAGTAGGACAACATGTATGAAAAGGATGATATGGTCGAAATTTGCCTAATAATTCTGCACACAGTGTAGTAAAATGTCAAGATTGATTTATACTCAGAAACCAGCTCATCTGTGTGTGTGTGTCCACCCCTTCCGCAGACACTCTGCTGCACCTCTCCGAAATTGTAGTTGACCGCAGACAGGATTGTTTAAATCTACATCCGCTCTACACTATGAGTATTTACTGTTTGGTACCTTACCAGCTTGTTTTGTTTGTATGACCAGCATTGTGGAAAATGACCGCTAGAAGAGCGAGGTGCGGGAGAACGCTGCGGCCCTTTTTCCACCCAGATCCCCAGTCTTCTTCACCCTCATGTCCCTCTGTTGTTGCACAAACTTGCCCCTCGCGGTTTTCCTCTTCCTCACCGCCTCTGCCGTATCAAGACTCACAGCTAGTTCATGATTATCCCTCTTGCGTTTTGGCGTGGAATAACATATTGCAGACCACGCTTCAATATTGGGCATAAATTAAAAATATATGCGTTATAATTGTGACAACCTGCTGCGGGAGTATACTCAGCCCTTCACTTCTGACAACTTCCTGATGTGACGTCACGGTGCGGTAAGCCTAGCGCCATTCTCCCCGCTTTACAAGCAAAATCAATGGGAACTACTAGACACATCTGCAATCAACGACAATTATTGAAGATTTCCAGAGGACTTCACCATGGAAATTCACCAGAGCTATAGTGAAACTGACAATGTCCACGTGCATGGCAGCTGGATGCTGGAATACATTGGGTAAAAGGGAAAACAAATTAGTTATTCCGCCTTTCTGATTCCTGATCCTCCACGGACGGGTTGGTCGTTGGATCGCCAACTTGAAGAGGGAGGATTTGCCATCGAACTTCTGGCCAGAGAAAAAACCCGTAATATGTAGCCAACATTTGGAAGAAGAATGTTTTCAAGATGACTTGGATAATAGCGCGATGTGACAAACACCAGATACAGCACTGGGACTTGATCAACAGCCGATACCGTACCGTGACGTCACAAACCAGTAGGTGGCAGTAGTGTTCTTTGACAAACATGGATGCCTCCAGTAAAGCACATTCACATGGAAATTACTCTGAATTAAAAACACTGATCATTTATTGAACAGGATGGAATAATTTCATATTTAAATTACTTTCAGAAGTTTGAATTCTGAATATGGTTTAGCAGTCTGAGTATTCGGTTCTCTGACACTGATAGGATAGGTTGTATTTGTTGTTGTAGCAAACTGTACCTGCATTGATGGGGAAAATGCTCAGAGACAGTTTAGAAAACCAGATTTGGAAATCTTTACCGTAAGACATTTTTAGGTGAGAGAATCTACTTTCTTGAGCAGCAATAATCAGATGTTTCAGAGGTTTTAAATTGAGGATCACACTTAAAACTCAACCTGTTTGTGTTTTCCAACAAACTCATTAGATCTGCAGCTGGTGTTACTGATCACCAACAAAGCTATTTGTCTTGTAATATAAAACAGAAATGTTGAACTTCCTGCATATGATTTAGATAAGCCAGTGAAATACTGACAAATAAAATAGACTTTTAAGGGTTCAGTAACTAACACTGAATTCTGTTCAGCTGAGGCGTTTCAAAGTTGGGAGTTGAAAACTAAAAATCTTAAAAATTCCAGCTAAATCAGGTTGTTAATTCTAGTTTCAGTTCTCATTGCCAAACGCTTTTAACATTGTTAAACAATAGGAGCCGAGTGGGGAACTATGAGGAACCCCTCATGCCTTAATGTTTACCTAGATTTTGAACAACCAGCTCCCTCAAACCATCAATCCATCGGCCAAATATCATGCACCAGAAATCTGTAAGATTTCTGTTCCAATATCCTGTTTGGAAACATCGGCTAAGATCACATTGATCATACTAGTCAGTCTGCTTTGTATGGTGGGTCTGCTGCCGTTTTTGCTTTGGACTGAAATCTGCTTTCACCTCTTAAACATTCTCCAGGTTCAGTAATTCCTCACAGGCTTTGTCAGGGGGATGGATGGTGATTTCCATCCCCTTTCACTTTATTGTGAGGAATATTATTAAAAAAAAAGTCAACCAAATGAGAAACTTTCCATTACACCGGTGGTCTAAGCATGCTAACTCTCTGGAGTCTTACTGGACAGGACATCTGCTGTAGCCGCTATAGCTAGTAACCTGTTGTCAGGTCTAAGCACCTAAAACATCATACATGCATACAGGGAAAGAAAGAAGGCACAGAGACGATTAGTTTAGTTTTACTCGCGAGGAGAGTTGGAAGAGACTGTGGAGTTTAGGAATCTCCAACCCACTCTGCGGTCCCAGCGTTCTCCTCGCTATTTATTGAAATCAGTGGTCCCTGGTTACAACAGCTGAGACTACACTGGGGGGGAAACAAGATAAGGAATTCAGAATTGCAGTCTCAGTAAACATATCCTCTAAAGCTCAGGGTTTAGTCAAAGTTTAAGCTGTTGAAGCTTTTCACCAAAGTTCAGCAGGTTGAGTGCTGCTCGTAGATCAACCACAACCTCCCAAAAAGCAAGTCCACAAATCACAGTATACTTCAGAAAAGGTGGCTATGAACACATGCACATACATACATTAATACAATTATTCTAACACCTGTGCACCTTGGTGGCATTGCTATGCGGTGAGTTGGTTAAATAAATCAAAGATGCTCTTACAGGCAGGGTTGGGATTCGCCATTAGGCAATACTAGGCGGTTGCCTAGGGCCCCAAGTTTCTGGGGGCCCCATAAAACTCTGTTTACATTTATGGTTCATACAACTATTCATTATTTGTCCACATAAATTATGTTTTTGATAAAAATCCTTTTGCTAAAATGCCATCAGAATGCTTATAAGTGTGTCGCAGCTCCTAGCTCCAAATCTAGAGACTTTGGAGACAACATCTAAAAGCAGCAAACTCTGCTCTCCAGAGCGAGTAGATTGGTAACCCCGCCTCCTGCTCTCCTCTATCTTGTCTGCTGTCATGATTCATGCAGCTATTATTTCATCCAAATGAAAAATGGAGAACAGATAAGCAGATCATGGCTTGTCTACAGTGAAAAGAAGGACTGAGTCCGTATCATTCAACACTCAAATCCAGAAGCAATATTGAATTTTGTCAGTTGTAGTACTGACATGGATAACCTACCATGATGATGCTGTTAGTTGTTTTTAACAGTTGAGATGACCTCGTTATGATGTTTGAATCACAGTTTCTTGGTGTTTGGCCTTGATGGTGAAATTTCTGCCTGCTTAGCGTGTTTTTGCACCCTGTCATTACGGTTGATTGTTGTCGCTGACCCTCTGTCAGAGTGCGTTGGCTGCTTTAGGCTGTAGCCAGCTGGACTGCTAGCTTGCCGGATTCAAAAGTCTTTTACTCTACATAATCTCCACAGTGGTGTTCTGTGGGGCAAAATGTAAATGCTTTTATTGGAAATTCACTCTCTACATTTAACCCATCCCGTTGGGGAGCAGTGGGCTGCCATTGTTTGGCGCCCGGGTAACGGATATTGAGAACCCCGGCTCCAAAACTGCCTCTTCTCTCCTTCCTACAGCTCGTTTCACACGGTGAATGGGCTCATGAGCATAAACTGTGTGATGTAGACACTTCACTACCCTTTCAGCTTTGTCCTCCATCAAACCAAATGTTTTATGGTTCTGATCTATCACCAGTATAGCCAATGTATACCATTGCTAGAGCTAGCATTAATCAACCCAGTGATGTCACCGTTCCAGGTACTGCAACATGGCGGTGCCCTTACCAGAAAAAATAAATCAAAGCTTTGTTTTTTCTTTTACTTTTATATTTTTAACATTTGTAATTTAATTATTGATAATAGTAAGGACCAACCTCGTTAGTTTTGTTTGGTTCAACGTTTTATTTCGTCTTTAAAGGCTGGCAAAGGATATGTTGTTTGCTGAGAATAAAGCGTGTTGCATACTCCACAGAAACAGAGAGATTTGTTTTGTTAGAAAAGGACAAGTTTTTTTTACCTCGGAGTATTCAGGAGCAGCTCAGCAGCCGGGCTCATAGAAAGTCCCATCTGCTGAAACTAATGTCACACCTGCAAAACAAAACATCACAGTAACACAAAGGTAGAGGTCATATTTTACCAACTGATGCAGGATGAGGAGAGAAAATCCTTTAGTCACTGAGATGTTTGGTAAACTGTGATGTAGAGGAAGTAAGAAAATATCAGAGGATTATAAATAGATTAGATATCTAGAACTGGAAGTTATTTCTAACTAATGGTTCATTCAAATCGAAGACAAAACCAATTAATGTGTATTAGTTCAGTGATTATAACTGTAATTTGCTTACTCAGCAGGGATCGTCTGTTTAAAATCCAGTTACCTTTCACCAATTTAACATATACTATAGCCCCTTTTACTCGACTCTTTAGAAACCGTGCCGAGATTGATCCAAGCACGGTAACCGAGAGAAATGTGGAGACTAAATGGAACGCACAACTGAACTGGACCGTGCCAGACACAACCAAACTGCCCTAACATAGTACTGGTTCATCAGTAAGGCTTGGCGCGGTTCAGTTCTGTCTCGGTTCTCAGATAACAAAGAGCGCATGAGCAGACCACGTCATCTCCTTACTTTGGGTGGACCCGTTCGTCCGTTTTAATTTGCATGTTTTCTAAACAAAAACAAGACTTTGTTTTTGGTCCGCTCTATAAAGCCCCAAACTCAACCCTATTTCTGACATTTTGAATGGAAAATTGAATTGAAGCCAAACGTCGTTAAACTTGGAAACAAAGTCCAGTGGTTTGTTTTTTTTACTTTTTTTGGAATGACTATGACCTTGATGACAGAGAATCTTCACTAGCATATCTGAACATTGTCTAAATAATCTTTTATTTATTTATTTTTTCTCCCAAAGTGTCTGTAAGCTGCCTTTTTTATATTTGACTCCATGTAGACATGTCATGATGCCTTTGACTTAGTGATGCACGATATTGGGATTTTGGCCGATATCCGATATGCCGATATTTTAAAACTCATGTAGCTGATAACCGATATCGATACTGATGTTAAAGCTGAAAAAATAAAAAATAAGTAGTCATTGAAAATAGCAGTTTTGTTATCCATTTCTGACACTTTGAAAAATAATATACTCAAATATATTTTCATATGCTGATATCAAATAGATTTTTAAAAACGCGGTATCGATCTATTTTACTTTCAAAATCTCGTGAAATTTCATTGTTCTGTTACAAACTCTCGTGATATTTTGCAAATTCTTGTGAGATTTTGTTAGTAAAATAGATCGATACAGCGTCAATATATCAACATATAAAAATATGGCAAAATTTTGTGAATTTTCGGGGGATTTCGTAGCATAATGATGACATATAGCAATATTTCATTAGTAAAAGAGATTGATATGGTGTTTTTAAATGGCAAAATATCAGCATATGAAGATATTGTGATATTTTAATGTATCAATATTTTTCCCTCATCTTTAGAAGTTTTTAAGTCTGTAAAAAATAAGTATTTGAGGAAGAAGAAGAAGTAGTATTTTTTTTTCTTTTCACAGACTTTAGAAGCTGATCAAATATCGGGTTAAATATCGGTGGGGTGGCCGATGTCCGATATTCAGTTTTAAGGCCGATACCGATAGGGGGCCGATTATATCGTGCATCCCTACTTTGACTAACTAGTAGAGTAGTTGCGATGACTACCTGGTTAGTTAACAGACACTCAGCGACTGCCATGTGACTCTGGATCCAGAATAGATGCACAGGGAGCGGTTCCTTTGGAAGAGTAGTGCTACATGCTACTAACTCTAAAAACAAGTCTGTTTTCTTTCTAGTTCAGGTCTTTCTAACATCTAAGGCTTGATTACCACTTGTTATTAAACTACATGCTAAGTTAATTTTGCTCTAAATGAATCAGGGAAATCTGTTTATAGCAGTGCCCATATTATTAGGCCTTCCAACTGAGTGAGGAGTGTTTTTTTGCATATTTAAAGACTTTTGAGCCTGAATGGGTGCTCTGAACTTCTGTTATGGTTTTGTTGAGTTTCTGTTTGTATCTGGTGCTGTGACCATGATTGTGCTCATCTCTGTTCTGTAGGCTACTTGCCACTCTCTACTGAATAAGGCAACACTAAAAGAAAAAAAGGAAAACAAAAAAGCAGTAAGTTTGGTGAATCTATTTTCCTTTACACACTTTTCCCCCTCAAGCAGAAAATGCATTTTTGCATTAGACTGTATTCATTCCCCCCCCCCCCCCCCCCCCCTTCATTCTTAAATTTTGTTTTTAATCGTCTATTTGTAATTTCTTTATTCTTTTTTTTTCCATTTTAACTCTGTGTGCATCACTCTCCTAAAAATCTCACTAATATTAACTTGATCTGACATTATGCATTTTCTATTAACGATCCTGGGAATCTGCCTTCTCTGTTTTCCTTCTGGTCTCTATGTTGGTGCTCCATGAAACATGTTTAATATATTTTTGTCTGCATTTTTACCATGCTGCTTCATCTAATGAATGAACAATGTGTCCATCTTACCTTCACAATCAAAACTGCATGTATTACCTGCCATAGTGCACACAGCCTGTCTGAAACACTTTCTCTGCAGCTGAGATTTTTGAAAGAACTCTCCTTCCCTTTGAGTTGGATCATTTTGCAGAGTGCAGAGCTCTGCATTATGCAGAGCTCTGTGCATTATGTCCACTTATGAGGACAGTTTAATGCTTCGCACCTTTGTAGCACATTTATTGAGGAGGAAAAACATGCATATCCGAGAACACACAGCCTCCAGAACTTTGCGCTGTTGTGCACTTGGCTGGATGTAAACTTGAGCTTTATACTGATCCTCTGCTTTCAACCAAAAGTTCAAAAGTGTTGCTTTTGATGCATATTTTTTTTAATTGACAATTCAAAATGGAGCAGAGTTTGTTTCCAGCATCTTTGAATCCAATGCAGGCTATTAAATCCAAGTTCCAGTGTTCATTGGGAGTGACTCCAGGGCTTTTTCAATCTTCTTTTTTAGGGGAGATTAATCGGCTCATATTTGTTTTCTGCAGTTTTATGGAAAGCTCTGTGTTTACACCTTGAAGCTTTCTCTCTCCCCTTCTTTTCCTGAGAAGAGATCCCTTGAAATAAACTATTTAAATAACATCTCATAATGCATATGTATACCGTAAATAAACATGAAAACAGATTGTAAAAGAAATTGTAATCTTACTCAGATCAGAGAAGTTATTTAGGGTTACAGAAGGCAGAATTTACCAACCAGCTCACATGTCTTTGAAGTGGCCTCCAATCTCAGTTAAAGAAGCATTTCATATGACTCCAGTATGCCACATCATTACGACATAAAGATTTGTAAATGAGGAGACATCAAAATATTACTGTCTGTTCTTAGATCAAGAACGCCGCTCTCATTTCATTCCCAAACCTTTGCCACATGCATAATGAAGATGAATTTTTATCCTGACACAGGAACCGTACAATTAGATAAACGAATAGGTAAAACATTAGTTCTGTAACGGAACAGGCAGGTATTATTAGGGTTTAACAGACTCGCACATCATGAGTATGAATTATCCTAACAATAGTTTGTCTTGAATAATAATTAATTTCATTTATAATAATAAAAATATTTCCCCCCCTTTGTGACAAAAAAAGGATAAAGTTCAATTTTATACACATTTTAGGAAGGGTTAAAAAGTGTTTATCTTGGTTAAATTCTTAATAAATCAGTGATATAGGTGCAGTAGGTGTCCCATAAGAAAGTATTCTTTAGAATCAAATTGTTTTTGCATTAGGACCTTTATAACCATGGAGCCATTCAGATAGACATTATTTCTAAAATGCTCTACAGGTTAAACCAAAAACCCAAAATCCTAAATAAATAAAACGAAGCTGGATAAAAATAATTTTCCCTGAAAAGAAGAGCTCGAAAACTTTCTATTCAATGAGTCTTTTGTTGGCTTGATTTTATTGGTTGATTCTATTAATCGTATTGTTATAACATTATTACTTGTATGAAATTATTTGAGCAAAACATCAAGATTTCTTTATTTGCTGATGACGTACTGATTTCTTTATGAAACCTAGAATATTTCATCTTGGAACTTTAAGATGTGTCATTTATAGCCTGAAACCAAGAAAAATACAACTAATATACTCGGATGCTAACATTAAATTTGTGCTCTGATTTTTGTTTTATTATCTATATAAATATTAGCTTCAAAAAAAGATTAAACAATAAACAGCAGCTGTGTTTAAGGACATTATACAGAAGAAAAAAAATTGAATAGTAAAAGGTTGGTGTGTTAAAAGAAGTTTTTTTTTTTTTTTCTATTTAGGTTTTCATAAACATATTTTGTTTTAACTGCTATTTGCAAGTTTTTATTTTGATGAGGCTTTGTTACAGTTATTTTCCCAGGTTTCCCAGGAGCAGGTTTGTCGTTCAAACTGGGTTACCACGGTGACTAGATTGGCTAAGAATGGATCCAGTTTTGTGGTACCGGAAAGTCAGGGTTAAACCCAGTCTGGCTAACCCAGTAATTTTTTTGTTATTTTTACAAAAGGTCAGATTTTTTCGCGGCTGCTTGCAGGCGAGTCCTTGATTGTTAGTTTGCAAATTTTTACAAATGCAGGCGTGATTCCACTTTCATCTGGTAAGGTCCCATCACTGAAACACGCAGGTGCAAAACATGTAGCACAGACATTAAGAGTTGCAGGCAGATCTACTGGAACATCCTTAAAAGAGCTGAACTTGAACCACTGATCCCTGGTAGTTTAGCTGCAAAAAAAAAGTAATGACTCAAACTAGACATGTATAGATGATCTAGCTTTATCAACATGTTTGTAATGAAATTCACTTTTTCAGTGCAGCAATTCCAATTTAAAGTTTTCATCCTAAATGTTCAAATATTCCTAAATCAAATGTTCATCTCCTGAATAGAACAATTTTAATCCAGCACTGATTTTTTTCTGTAAGACTTTCTTCAGAACGTGTGTAAGCGCACTGGGCTGCAACTAATTAGGATTTTACTACAAAAAAACAAGAATGTCTTTATATTAGAGTAGAACCTTTGACAAAGCAAAAACGCACCCCAAAAAAGGGTTTCTGTTAAGGTGTTCTGTTACAGTAATATTAAATAATAAATAATTGTGCTTTAGATAAACAACTTTAGGTTGACCATTTATTTAGTTAAATCAGGCATTTAACATTGAGGCTTATTAGTGGTGCATCATAGTGTAAAGCAGGACTCCACCGACAGAGCAACGACCAATGTTGCCGTTTCCTCACTTTGAAATTAAATAAACTAAGGATGTTTCAGTGACTCCCACTGCTGTTGGCCTTCTTCCTTAGTGCTGACTTTATTTCCGCTTCAGGCGCTGCATCATCCACACTTTTAAATGTAGCGCTCAAGCTGTTTGCTCCGTTTCTGTCATTTGAAGAATTGATATAATCTCCTTTGAAAATACCACTCTGCCTCCAGCTTGCTTTAACTAGCTCTGCAGGTTGTTTTTTTTGTTTTTTTTACTTTATTTCAGTCAGCCAGCAATAACAAAGCTCTGCGGGTGAACAGCTATGCCACATCGCAGGTGATGCAATGAATCGATAATCAAACCAGAACTTTTAAAATATTTTCATATTCAGTTTGTTGTTGCAGCCCTACAAACAAAGTTCATAATGAGGGAAATAAGTTGGTTTTTTTTGTTGTATTTTTACCATCAAAGGAAACTCATTAACTGGCATCAAGCCACTCGCCCATTCTTGTTTTTTGCTTTTAGATTAAATTTGAAAAAATTACTTTCAATTACTCTTTAGTTCAAAATATCTTAAAGAAATTAAAACATATAATTTCTAACTCCAGTTTTAATTATATTTGATGTAAAGGAAAGTTTTGATGTTTAGCTAAACTCTAGCTATCTTAGGGGTCATCGTCCAGTCTTTCTGCATGGTGTTTGCATGTTCTCCCTGTCCATGCATAGAAACTTTCTGGGTACTCCTTCTTCCTCTCATAGTCCAAAACCATGAATTTAGCTTAATTGAGCTCTAAATTGTCCCTTAGTTACAAATGTCTTTCTGGGTATTGCTCTGCCATTCAAGACTTTGTTGCTCTGTTATGTCTTGAGACCGCCCTTTGCTAAATGACTGGCACCAGCCCTCCCACAACAGTGCAAGTACAGGCCACATATAAAGGCCAGAACACACTGGATCAGATTTTGCATCCAATGTCCTTTTGACCGAGGTCGTGGCGTTTAGAGCTTATTATAAGTCAATGGGGATCATCACGGTGTGTTTATGTCAGACCGAGATAGAGCCCAGGTCTATTTTAGTCAGACTATGCAGTAATTCAGTGGTCATTTCCTGGGTCTGAAAGGAAGAGGGACGCGGTTATTAAGTAAAAAACATCCGCTTTGGGGGAAAATACAAAATAAAGTCGCATGGGAAAAGTGTCAGTTTGGAGTCACACATCGCATATATAGCAAGCGGGACAGAGTCAGGCAAAAACAGTGAATGAAACATTAAAATAGAAAACTTTACCCATGACAGGAGTTCAGGAGAACAGAAAACAGATAAAGTAGTGATCCTCTTTGAGCCTCACAAAAAACAAAATAAGGAGGGCAGAAAGCACGGTGTATTTCTCTCACCTCTTTATAAAAAAAGAAAGAAAAACCTAGATAAAGTTCCCAGATCTCTCTGAGAATCACCCCTCTGTCTCAGTCAGCATAGAAACAACCCACAGCGTTTATTGCTGAGTTTTTCATTTTGTAGATCTCAATATGTTTGTAATAGATGAACATTCTTTGTTCTTGTTTGAGATGCTGCACAGACTCGTTAAGTGGGGCTTTGCTTTATAGGTGCGTCACTCTTTAAAAAATGTTTTCAAAACTTTTCATAATCATAAACCAAGTCAAATGTGGGGAATTGTTTTAATTTGTGTGGCACAGAGCCAGAAGTGAAAACAATCTGCACAGATCTGCTCGTCCTGCCTAGTCTCAGCCTCTCTAGAGTGACAATGTTACATCAGTGTGAAATGGAAATATTATCCCGGAGCTTAAAAAGTCACATGCAACCGGTGTGCTCAGGCCTTCAATCGATAATTCTTAAAAAGTACCTGTACAATATAAGAAATGTACCTGCCATAAAAAAAAGGACCTGTACTAT